TGAATCCGCAATTCAGGAGTTGCGCCGCCGAGAGCAGGTTGAAACGCAGGTTCTACACAATCAACACGTCATTCAAGGTGATGTGCGTTCTGCTCCCATGTGCCTTGAGCACAACAATGCCTTGCGCGCTTGCGCGCAGCCGCGTGTTGTTCGCCACAGTGACGTAAGTGACGGCGGGGGTGGCGACGGCGTTGGATATGTAATGTTCAGAGCCCACCATATGCTGCCCACAGCAGCTGTCCAGGTACCACGTGTTGTAGCGCCTGTTATCGTTTCGCGCGAGCAGCGCCAGTCGCGGAGTGATGATGTGCGGAGTGTCGACCTTTAAAAACTGTTCGCGTGCAATCCAATCGATCGGTGCTGGCCGCGTGTCTGGTACGTGCGGGGGGCTCTCAAGCAGCGGGACTGGGAGATTCGAGTCCTGTTTGTTATCGTCGCTGAAGTCGTGATGCGTGCTGAACGGGTTGTTGTTCGAGGACGCTCCGATTGGGTCAGGCGCCAGCTCGGGTGATAGTGAGCGTGCGCGCGGGCGACGAGAGCCGCTCGTCATGGTCATATTCCCCATAACATTGCGGACGGGGGCAGCCTGTGATGGCTGCTGCTGCTGCTGAACTGTCGGGTTCAGGTTACGCGATGGGGGTTGATACCCTTGGGCGGGACGCGTGTCGTTCCTTGCGTCTTGTCGGCCGGACCAGTTGCTCGGATTGGTCTGACGAGGGCGAGATCGATGCTTGCATCGGTCCGCCAGGTGCCCGAAATTCCTGCAGATTTTGCAGTAGAGGCGCCGCGGCCGTCGCTCTTCCGTGTTGTCGGCGTAGAAGGCGAGGCGTTCCCTGTCTCGTCGCGGCGCTGGTCGCTGCTGATCCATATCCCGTTGTTCGACGAGGAGGGCGGCGCAAAGGGCGGCCTCCGAGATGACCCCCTGCTGTCGGAGAAGCGCCTTGCAGGGCCGCCACTCGGGGCCGAGCCCTTGGAGCACGATATTTACGAAGATTTCCTCAGAAATCGTGCTCCCCAGTTTCGCGATTTGATCGCGTAGGCTCCGACAGCGATTCAGGTAACTGTTGGCCTTCTCTCCTGGTGCCATTTTGGTCTCCAGTAGCTGCTGGAGTAGATGGCTCGACGACACCGAGTCCTTCGGTTGATACATACCATTCAGGTGGCGCCAGGCGTTGAGGGCTGGAGCAGGCGAAGTTTTGTATGAGCGTATGCTCAACTGCTCCGTCCGCGACATATTTCGAAGAAGAACCCCGTACGCCATCAGGGACTCGTTGTAGTACTTGATTTTTGCGTCGTCAGTTTCCTCCGTGGGTCCCGAGTAGCTCCCGTCAAAGTAGTGAAAAATCTGCGCGTTTTGCAGCAGCAGCTCCAGCTCGAAGCTCCAGGTATAGAAGTCTCTGCCATCAATGCACACACTTGTCTTTATTTTTGATATGCTCAAAAACCTTGATTGCGCAGAGAGAATTGCTTCATCGCTGGGACAGGGAGTCTTGGGTGTTGAGCCGTTTGTGTCAAGAGAGAAGCCTTGCGGGGCGGAGTTCTGGCCATTCGAGGCCGGTTGAGTGGGGTGGGAAGATGTTCCCGCATCGCCATTCCGCAATGTTTGGAGCCCTTGCTCCAGGCTCGTGAGTCGCTGAAGCAGTTGTGCGAGGATGACGGAGGGGATTGTCGTCGTGTCCTCGTTTGTCGCAGCTGGATTAGTATGCGCTTCAGCCGTCAGATTCGTCTGACCTCCAGATCCTCCAGCCATTCTCACACGTGAGCGTGTGCCGGACGCCACTTTCCGTTCGCCTAAGATTTCGGTGGTGGCGGTGCGAAGGATTCCTGAGTCGCTCTCATACCATGTTGCGATCAGAAGTTGATCACCCTCAGGATCACCTCAGGAAGGTTCGCACAGTCCTAGTCTAGTGGTGGTGGGCCCTTGATCTCAATGGCAGAGTGAATGTAAATGCTTGAGATAATAAAAACATGCAGTACAATGAATATCAATAAGATTACAAGGGAATACCAATCGACCTAGCTAGCCATGTACTCTAAGGGGTACATTCCCTTATTTCAACGAAGTCCAACCGTGCGACTCCAGACAGTTACGAAACTGTACGGGCAGAATCCTCGCCACTGCTGCTGCCTGATGCTGTCTGCCCGTCGGTCCAGATCCTTTCGTAACCGTGTGACTCTTCGTGTCACTTCCGCCTGTTCGTCTTCATTCTCGGTAGTGCGTGCTTCGATTGCTGCGGTGAGGAGTGTACAAAAGTGTTTCAATAATCACTATTCGTAACAGTGTTTATCCCCCTCTTTTCTCTCCCTTCCCTCTCCTTCCTTGGAGCCACTCACGCTACTCCGGCTGCTCCCTTCACTTACGCCACTCACGCCACTCCAGCTCCTTAGGTAAGCTTTGTCATTCTTATGCTTATTATCGCTGAGAGGGATTCTTTGTGGAGATTAAAATGTCGATGTTGACCATAAGTTGATGTAACAATCCTTTTGTTTTGTTATCATTTGTTTTTCTGTTTTGTCTACCTCGATTTGTTGCATATTCTAAATTTCCCCATGAAATTCACCGGTCCTTCTCTCTCCATCGGTCATGCATATCTCTCTCTCGATTCTCCCTTACTTCTTCGTCTTGCTTCTTCATTTCCCCTTCTTTATCCTATCGCTTCCACCGTTTTGCTGGTGCAAGTCACGCGTGCGTCTTTTTGCTGGTGCTAGGCGCGCTAGAGGCGAGTGCGCCACGCTCAGTGTCGTGCGAATTATCCGCGACGGCAGCAGCAAAGAAGGCCACGAGCATGTCGGCAGAAGTTGGTGAGTTTATATTGCGAAAGAGAGTGAGAGAGTAGTCATGTGCGAAAGAGACTGAAACTACTTTAGGGTTTGTTTTCTCTCTATCGTTCTCTTTCTCTCGTTCTCTCTCTCTTGTTCTCTTTCTTTCGTTCGTTCTCTCTCTCTCTCTCTTTCTCTCTCTCTCTCTCTCGTTCTCTCTCTCTCTCTTGTTCTCTCTTTCTCGTTCTCTCTCTCTCTCTCTCTCTCGTTCTCTCTCTCTCGTTCTATCTCTCTCTCGTTCTCTCTCTCTCGTTCGTTCTCTCTCTCTCTCTCTCACGTTCTCTTCCTCTTGTTCTCTCTCTCTCTCTCTCGTTCGTACTCTCTCGTTCGTCCTCTCTCTCTCTCTCTCTCTCTCTCTCTCTCTCTCTCTCTCTCTCTCTCTCTCTCTCTCTCTCTCTCTCTCTCTCTCTCTCTCTCTCTCCGTATTCGTTATATTCTCTTCTTTCGTTTACTGTCTCGCTCCCGTTCCTTACTTTCGTTTTACGCCTCGGTACATTCTTCTCCTTGCTCTAACCATTCAATGCTCACGGCGTTTTTCTTAGCCCTTGTATTGTTTCATTCGTTTCTTTGTTATTCCTGTTTCTCTTCATTTCATCACACCTCATACATTTTCTGTTTTGTTTGTTGTACCGGCTATTTCTTTCCGTTCCTCCTTTCCACTCCCTAAACCCGTTTCTCAGGAGCCTTGCTAGTCAGGAAGGCGATTTCAATATGGAAAATGTGTATTGGTCACTAGGATTTATCGTATTGTCCTTTTAACGTTGATTTGCTTGTTATTTAGTATCGCGTGTTTTTTTGCTGGGTTTGTGAGAGCTCGTGTTTTTTATTGTGTGAATGTGTTTGTTTGTGTGAGTGCATTCATCTCATCTATCATTGCAATATCAATGCATGTCTGTCAATTTTAAAAAGGGGGTTCATTTCTATCATTTCTCATTGGTTCATTGGCGCATTCAGTGACTCGTGTGTTTGCCACTTCGAACTGGAATTGATAGTGTGAACCTCTTTTTTGGAGTTAACAGAATGCATTTTTTCATGTGTTAGTTGATTATTCAAAGACTTTGCTATTGACTTCCCCCCCATGCTAGGCAGGGGATGCGGTAGCCTAGTTTTTGGGTCGTTAACTATCACGCATTTGTATGGTATACCGTATGTTGCATTTCAGCATTTCGCTTCATGCAAAAGCATTTTCATCCATGTATCAGTATTATGCATCTATATATCTTGCCGCATTACATTCATTTAAGCATGCGTGGTGTGTACTTCATTACTAATATTTGTAACATTTATTACATGCAATTATCACAACAACATCAAACAGTAAAAGATATAATGCAAACAGTATAGCATATAAGAAAAAAACAAAAAAAATGAGTTTAATATATGTACAATGGGAAGGGTGGTACTGTAGCATACGAATTTTATTTTCATGTTAAAATAAAAAACATGAAAAGAAAATTTGTCAAAATCGATCGTAAAGGGTTGCTTCGCAACCCAAAAAAAAAAAAAAAAAACTGCTACTGCTCACGTGTCTGAAGATTGATAAACGGGATCACAACAAATTAAAACATTCAACCCATAAATGATAATAAATGATTCCATATCTGGAACCACATCACAAACACGAAAATCCGTGCATAAGGCCAAGGAAGTAAGCTGGGAATTTGTACTCCTTGCAGCATGATCGGATCACCCAAATCATGTAGGACTTTCTGCTTCTATTCCGCATTCATTATGAAGTGTTCCTCTTCAGCTATTTTACAGAACAAAACAATGTTGCTGGGAAGTAAATCAACCAATAACCTGTACTGGTGCCACAGCTGCTGACGACCTCTCTTCGCCCCCATTCACCTCCGTATCCCCCCTTTCAGCTGACACTAATTCCCCTGCCTCCAACGCTGCAGCTTCAGCTGCTGCTTTCGCTTCAGCATTTGCACACGCCTTAACCAATAACTTAAGCTTCTCCAGTACAGTCCCAATCTCTGGCCGTTTTGTCCGATCCTCTGCCACGCAGTGCCGAGCCAGAATCGCCAAGCGTAGGGGACTTTGCTCCGGGTACTGGTTACCAAGCCGAGGATCGACGTACGGGTATGTTGGAGGTCTGTGTTTCAGGTCTAAACATGTTCTGCACTCTTCAGCCAACCCTTCTCCCTCCTCTGCCACTCTCCTGCCGGTTACGAGCTCTAGCAGGAGAACGCCAAAGGAGTAGACGTCGCTCTTGACACCCAGGCGGCCTGGGGAAGGGGAGGGGGAGAGAGGGGAAGAGCGGACAAGCGTCGGGAAAGGGAGCGGGGATCAGAGTAAACTTCAAGCAGCTCTAGCAGGAGAACGCCAAAGGAGTAGACGTCGCTCTTGACACCCAGGCGGCCTGGGGAAGGGGAGGGGGTTCGTGTGAGAAAGAAGGTGTCCTGTGGTGGTAATGCTTGTACGCAGGGGTAATGCTTCCCTCAGTACCCGTGGATGCCAGTGCACCCCAACGCCCTCTTCCCTTGAAACCCTTGCGAGCCTGTCTCCCCTTGCCACACACCTGTTTCCATGGAGGTGTTACTTTTGAGAATTCTCAGAAAGTCTCCCCTTGCCACACACCTGTTCCCATGTAGGGTGTTACTTTTGAGAATTCTTATGAAGTCTCCCCTAGCCACAAACCTGTTCCCATGTATGAGGTCGATGTAACCCCGAGTGCCCATGATGCGAGTATGCATGCTAGTCATAGTCCCTTAGAGTCCTACACACGCACCTGTCTCCATGTAAGAAGGGTCCATGTATCCCGGAGTGCCCACGATGCAAGTATGCATGTCAATCCTAGTATGCAAGTGTCTCTTAGGCACACACCTGTCTCCATGTATGAAGGGTCCATGTATCCCGGAGTGCCCACGATGCAAGTATGCATGCCAATCCTGGTATGCAAGTGCCTCTTAGACACACACCTGTTTCCATGTATGAAGGGTCCATGTATCCCGGAGTGCCCATGAGGCGAGTTGAAACTATCGACCGCAGCTGCCTATCTGGCTCCACGCGCACCATCCCAAAGTCTGTCAGCTTTGCGTCGTAGTCCTGTGGCATTAAGAGGGACGAGTGAAGGAAAGGGGGGAAGCTGTAAGTGACGATTCACACCACCTCACGGTATGGACAATCGACCGCAGTTGCCTATCCGGCCCCACTCGCACCATGCCAAAGTCCGTCAGCTTTGCATCATAGTCCTATGGCGTGGAGAGGGAAGGGACGAGTGGGGAATGGCTTTTGAGTCGACTCGAAAGTCATTTCCTGTCTGGGGCTCCATTGGACATAGTCCTGTGGCGTGGAGAGGGAAGGGACGAGTGTGGAATACGGAGAGAGGGGAGAGAGGAAGCTATTGGTTGGGGAGGCTGCATGTGACGTATTCACACCGCCTCACACCGTCTCGCACCGTCTCACACTGTGTCATCTTTGGAAAAGGAAAGAGTGTGGAGATTCGAAGGGATTGTGAAAGAAGCACGGCCTGTACTATACTATCTGCCCTGCTACCCCCCCTCTCTCCCATGCCCTTACACGCACTCACAGGAGACAGCAGCACGTTGGCGGCTTTCAAATCCCTATGAATGAAATTGGCTCCGTGCAAATACGCCAGCGCCTCTGCCACCTGCACCGCCACCTTGAGTCGCATGCTCCAGCTGAAGACGAGCTCTCCCTTTGCACCTGTTGGAGGAAGGAGGGCGGGTGAGAGAGAGAGCAGTAGTGAGGAATGGGAAGGCGGTCATGTCTTAGCTGCCTGTACGCGACACCTACACCGCCACCTTCAGCCGCTTGTCCCAGCTGAAGACGAGCTCTCCCTCCGCACCTGGTGCATGAAAGGGGGGCGCGGCGATGTGGCACAGGCGGGAAGAAGAAAGGAGGAAAGGAGGGCAGAGCGGGCAGCAGGGAGGGCAACAGGGAGGGCAGCAGGGAAAGCAGAGAGGACCGCAGGAAGGGCAGGGAAAGCAGCCGGAAAGACAGAGAGGGCAGCAACGGGAGAGAGATGCAAGGCGCATCCCCTCATGAACCCGTCACGAGCAGGGAGAGGCGCCTGCTGAGTCTACCCGAAACTGATCGGAAGGTTAACCACTCCATTGTCCACGCACCCCAGTCACTGAACCACCACCCATAGCACCCCACTCACTGTCTAGTAGCGCTTTGTCCAGGCAGCCTCCCGGCATGAACTCGTACACGAGTAGAGCCTCGTGGCCCTCCATGCAGTAGCCGTGCAGACGGACTAGGTGCGGGTGGGACAGCCGACCCAGGACTATGACCTCTTTCTGCACGAGAGGGATTGGGAGGGGTTGGAGGAGTGGAGTTGGGAAGATGGGTGGGTTGGATGCGATCCATGCAGTAGCCGCGCAGACGCACGAGGTGTGGGTGCGACAGCCGACCCAGCACGATCACTTCTTTCAGCAAGAGAGATGCGGGTGGGACAGCTCTGCAGGCAATTTCTCGGCATGTGAGGGAATGGGCATTGTGCAGAGAAGCGATGCTCTCGTTAAGAGAGTTGGCATCCTACCCTCTCATCTCATCTCATGCACCACACACGTGCCATATAACCCCCATTTTTTTCCCACCCACCCACCCACGCACGCACGCACCAGAAACTCTTCCGTATAACGTTCGTTCGCCTCGCGCATTCTCTTAATCGCCACTTCTGTCGGCTCCGCGCCAAGCCCATTCGGCCCTGGAGGGATCATCCCCCAATAAACGGTTCCGAACCCGCCTTTGCCAATGCAGTTTCGGCGATGAAACCAGTTCGTCGCAGCCTGGAGTTCGGCGAATGAAAACCGTCGCAGGGAGCTCGGGATGAGGTCAGGTCGGGGATTGTCGCCGGTAGTGTCGCTGGCGCTAGGATTCGCGGTTGAACCGTCGACCAAAACAGGATTCCTATCGGCGGCTCTGTCACTAGGATCAACGGTTGAACCGTCGACCAAAACTAATCTATCGGTGTCACTGGCACTATTTGAGGTCGAAACCACAACGAAAACATTGAAGGTACTGGCACTAGGGTTCGCGGTTAAACTGTCGAACGAATCAATAGTATCCGAGGATTGAGAGGTGACGGTTTTAAGAGATGATTTGAATTGGCTGCTGGGGCGGGTGTTGATGGTGCCACTATTACTAATGATTGATGTGCTTGATGCTCCTTGGTCTGATTGGAAAAGGGCAGAGGAAAAGGAAATCGAGGTTATTCACAATGGAAGGGAAATGGGGAGGGGAGAAGCATGTTTCCATCGGGGTTATTGCAGAGGAAGGGAAGTGGAGAGGGAGAAGTAAGGTTACCATCGCATTGGAGTCGTCGGCTTACCCATCCGCCTGAAAATGATCGCATGGTTCGGCGAAATCACTGCAATAACTGAAATTTCGCTGAACTGGTTTAATCCAAATAGAGCGCATTCTTTCGGCCACACATTTATGAATTTAACCTTCTGCCGAGTCGTTATTCAGAGCGTCTGAGAGAGGCATAGTAAGGGACCGGCGAACGTACCCATTTTCGACATGAAACAACCCATTTTCGTCACGTAGAAGATTTTGACGCGGCAGCGTTATTATCGGACCAGAATCTGGCTTTCAAACATTGAAAGGAAGAAAACATAGAACGATAACTACGTCTGTATCTACATTTCCGTTCCACCACCTGTTGCTATTCCATGCACGCGTAGCTCATCATGCGATTATGTTCCCTCCGCGAAGCAATAGGGCTGAACATAAGGAGTGATAGAAAGCCTCGCGCGGTTACGATTACGAGCGGCTACGATTGCGTTCCGTAGTGCTGGATGGACGAGTACTTCCAACATAACAAAAACGGCCGAGCCAGTGTCACTCAGTACGGCGATCTGGAAAAGGAACGATAAGAGCGCTTTGATTACGTTGCTACATTAACTGCAGTTTTGAAAGAGTTTTAATGCAATGGTGCGCTTACTGCCAGTGTAACGCCTGTGGGCTGTGTTAAGGGCACTCCGCTGCGCCAAATAACACCCTCGTTTTGACCCAGTGGGTAGCGAGGTGTTACATTTGGAATCAGAGCCTAGGGTTCGAATCCCGGCTGGACCACACTTTCCGCCTTTGGTGAGAACTGAAGTGCGGTTGTAACCAGCTCGAACCCAGCGAACGATCCTCCGCTGGCCTGAGCAACCAGCGAAGTCGCAGCCAGCAGCACTGCGAAATCTAGGTCCCAGCGGCAGGGGGCCGACTTCCTGAAGTCCAGGGCCAACGGGGACGTTGGCACCAGGGGGGGACGAGTGTAACGCCTGTGGGCTGTGTTAAGGGCACTCCGCTGCGCCAAATAACACCCTCGTTTTGACCCAGTGGGTAGCGAGGTGTTACAGCCAGTATCAGTGAGGCGCTAAAGACCTAAGCAGCAAGAAGCAGGCTGCTATTTTATCAGTAACTAACGAATGCAATCATTGTCGAGCTATGATTGCATTCGAGCTACGAATGCAATCAGCCTGCTATTTTATCAGTAACTAAAGACCTATGATAGTGGCGTTTAGAGTGAGACTAGGAGTCAGAGGTGGGATGTTGTCGAGCTATGTCGATGGATGTGGAAGGATGTGGACTGATCTTGACAAATCCTGACGGTCGGAACCCTCGATCCGAGGGCTGACATTTACCAACAACCCCAAAGTGTGTCGAGGGATGTCGACGTTCACTTCGGACACCTCCTCAGGTTTCAGATAAATGCGCGGGCGAGAGAATCCCTCTGAATTTCGTGTTTAGCCTGGAAACACCTTCGTAACAATCTCGTCTGTATCGCGAAGCCTCTTGGCCACTGAAACCATCGCCAAAGCGCCAACGGAACGAGATATTTGGCTTGTACAGCACAGTCGCAGTGTCCGTTCCATGCCACCAGACGAGCCGACAACCAAGGCGAGAGAATTGTTGCAAAAGGCTGGATGCACGAACGGAGCCAGCTCTCGATTTGTCCAGTCAGGACAACATATGCCGACTTTTGTCGACCCAAGCCGATGAGAAATGTCGAGTTGACGGAGAAATACAGACGGACTGATCCTGCTTCCCTGCCAGGTTACAGTTTTGTAACTGCCTGAACGGGTGACGCCTAACGCGTAACAGTACATCCGTCCATACTGCTGACATTCTGTATACTGACATCCAGAGTGAAAAGACACGGTCTATGGTGGTTTGTTCATATGTCGGTATGGTAAAAAAAAAAACAAATCGAAAAATACGTGTACACGGTCAGCCATCCAGTTGCGCGCGGTAAGCCAAGGTACGCACTGTGTAGTTCAACTTGCTTGCACCATGCCAAGTGAGCGAACGCCGCCTGCTTGGTGGGAGCAGGGATGGCTTGGCACATCACAGGCAGATTGGACACGCCCAATGGACATGCGAGTGAAAGTAACGACCCCCCAGTCGTGCCTGTACTGTATGCAAATTCACTTGCAGAAGCTGGTTTCACATCCTCGCTTGTGGAATGCTCCTGGTTTCACTCTAATCCATTCTACAACTGCGACTGCTCACGTGTCTGAAGGTTGAAAAATGGCCATAAGAGGTCCAATCTAACAACCCATCACAAATTCAAAAAGTGTGAATTACATCAGACACGAGATTCTTCGCTTATGGCCAAATGATAAAGTTGGGTAACTGTGCACACTACAGCAGCATGATCACCCAGATCCTGTATGTGACTTCCTACTTCATTTTCGCACTAATTTCGCAGTGTTGCTGTTCGGCTATCTTACAAGAGATAAATCTACCTTGTCGGGAACTAAATCAACCAATAACCTGTACTGGTGCCACAGCTGCTGACGACCCCTCTTCACCCCCATTCACCTCCGTATCCCCCTTTCAGCCGACCCTGATTCCCCTGCCTCCAACGCTGCAGCTTTAGCTGCCTCTTTCGCTTCAGCATTTGCACACGCCTTAACCAATAACTTAAGCTTTTCCAATACACTCCCAATGTCCGGCCGGCTCGACCGAGCCTCTGCCACACAGTGCCGAGCCAGAGTCGCCAAGGTTCGGGCGCCCAGCTCCGGGTACTGGTTACCAAGATGGGGATCGACATATTCTGCGGCTATAAGTGAGAGATCCGAGAGGCGAGATCTGCACTCGGTGACCATCTTGCTTCCCTCGTCCACCACTCTCCTGCCGGTTACCAGCTCTAGCAGGAGCACACCAAAGGAGTAGACGTCACTCTTGGCTCCCAGGTGACCTGTGAGTGATAGGCGGGGAGGGGGGGGGAGGAGAGGGGTGGTGAGGGGTGGGGAGGGGTGGGGAGGGCGGGGAGGAGCGAGTGCATGTATGTAGAGGTTCATGTACCCCTCGGTGCAGATACTGTGGGTATATTTTTTAGTCGACTCAAAACTAGACTCATCACATGTGGGACCACACTATCCACCCCTTTCCTAGAATCTTTAGAAATGCTGTCTTTACAACCCCTAGACATACCTGTCTCCATGTATGTAGAGTTTCATGTACCCCTCGGTGCAGATAATGTGGGTCCACACCATACACCCCTTACCTAAAATCCACAATATCGGCAATATGCTGTCTTTACAACCCCTAGACGTACCTGTCTCCATGTATGTAGCGTTGCTGTATCTGCCCCCTGTCCCCATGATGCGAGCATGCATGCTAGTCTAGTGCATGTCGTAAGCACACCTGTCTCCATGTAAGTGGGGTCGATGTACCCTTCAGTGCCCATGATGCGGGTTGAAACACAAATACCCCATATACACACATAGTCACAGTCCCAGTCACAGTCCCAGTTCCCCCCCCTATATACACACACACCTGTCTCCATGTAAGTGGGGTCGATGTACCCCTCTGTGCCCATGATGCGAGTCGAAACAATCGACTCCAGCTGTCCCTCCGGCTCCACGCGCACCATCTCTTGCCCCCGTCTTGCCCTGTAACCCACCCCCACGCCTCCTGTATTGTGCATGCTACTCATAGTCCCCCCTCGACACACACCTGTCTCCATGTAAGTGGGGTCGATGTACCCCTCAGTGCCCATGATGCGAGTCGAAACAATCGACTCCAGCTGTCCCTCCGGCCCCACTCGCACCATCCCAAAGTCTGTCAGCTTTGCATCGTACTCCTGTGGCGTGGAGATGGATGGGATGAGAGTTCGGAGGGGGAAAAAACGTCCCAAAGTCTGTTGATGACTGACACGCACCATGCCAAAGTCTGTCAGCTTTGCATCGTACTCCTGTGGCGTTGGGAGGGTATGGAAGAGTGGGGAGATGGGAGGGATGGGGAACAGGTTAGAGAAAATGACAAAGGGCAGTCGTGGCTAGGAGGCTAGGACAACGACTTATGCGGCGAGTTTTGAGGCGACTCAGACCTCGCCTCACTACACCTCTCCTACTGCAGTGTGCCACCGTCACTTTCCCCCAATCTAGGTGACTTTTGAGTCGACTCAAGAGGCTAGGACAACGACTTATGCGGCGAGTGTTGAGGCGACTCAGAACTCGCCTCACTACACCTCTCCTACTGCAGTGTGCCACGGTCACTTTCCCCCAATCTTCCCAAGCCACTAGCCTCCCCTCGCACCCCCCCCTCCCCACCCCTCCGCACTCACAGGTGAGAGCTAGCAGCACGTTGGCGGCTTTCAAATCACGGGCCTCTGCCACCTGCACCGCCACCTTGAGGCACCTCTGCCACCTGCACCGCCACCTTGAGGCATGGGAAGGCGGTGCTCGTTTTCCATGCATGTACGCGAGGGCCTCTGCCACCTGCACCGCCACCTTCCCCCATCCGCCCCAAGCCCTTGCACCTTCCCCCATCCGCCCCAAGCCCTTGCACCTTACCCCATACGCCCCAAGCCCTTGCACCTTCCCCCATCCGCCCCAAGCCCTTGCACCTTACCCCATCCGCCCCAAGCCCTTGCACCTTACCCCATCCGCCCCAAGCCCTTGCACCTTACCCCATCCGCCCCAAGCCCTTGCACCTTACCCCATCCGCCCCAAGCCCTTGCACCTTACCCCATCCGCCCCAAGCCCTTGCACCTTACCCCATCCGCCCCAAGCCCTTGCACCTTACCCCATCCGCCCCAAGCCCTTGCACCTTACCCCATCCGCCCCAAGCCATTGCACCTTACCCCATCCGCCCCAAGCCCTTGCACCTTACCCCATCCGCCCCAAGCCCTTGCACCTTCCCCCATCCGCCCCAAGCCCTTGCACCTTCCCCCATCCGCCCCAAGCCCTTGCACCTTCCCCCATCCGCCCCAAGCCCTTGCACCTTACCCCATCCGCCCCAAGCCCTTGCACCTTACCCCATCCGCCCCAAGCCCTTGCACCTTCCCCCATCCGCCCCAAGCCCTTGCACCTTCCCCCATCCGCCCCAAGCCCTACAACCCATGAACTCACAGGCGACAGCAGCACGTTGGCGGCTTTGAGGTCGCGGTGAATGAAGTTGAGTCCGTGCATGTACGCGAGAGCCTCTGCCACCTGCTAGGCTGCTACCGCCCTCTCCCATCCATGCACTCACAGGCGAGAGCAGCACGTTGGCGGCTTTCAAGTCGCGGTGAATGAAGTTGAGTCCGTGCATGTACGCGAGAGCCTCTGCCACCTGTACCGCCACCTTCAAACGCATGTTCCAGCTGAAAAAGAGCTCTCCGCTCGCACCTGGTGAGGGTGTGGGGGAAGGGGGGGAGGGGGGGGTTTGGGGTAGGCGGGAGGAAGACGGGCAGCAGTGAGTAGTGAGGAGTGGGAAGGAGTCGCATGTTCCAGCTGAAAAAGAGCTCTCCGCTCGCACCTGGTGGGTGGAATGGGGGGAAGGGTGAGAGAGGAGAGACGGGAGGACGGGTAGAGTGAGTATTGAGGAGCGAAAAGGCGGAGCATGTTCCAGCTGAAAAAGAGCTCTCCGCTCGCACCTGGTGGGTGTGGGGGGCGGGGGGGTTAGGCGCAAGGAAGACGGGCAGTGGTGAGTAGTGAGGAGTGGGAAGGAAGTGCATCTTCCAGCTGAAAAAGAGCTCTCCGCTCGCACCTGGTGGGCGGGGAGGAGGAAGCAAGGGCCAGAGAGGCGTGGCAATGGTGTTAGGTAAGGGGAAGCGGAGTGAGCGGTGGGGAGTGGCCCAGTGGTGCGCGGTGCAAGCAGCTCCCCATCATGAGCTCGTACACGACCAGAGAGAGGAAAGAGCTGAGACATTCCTACTCCACACAATCAACTTCCTGCCTGTCACCACCCACTCACCGCCTGCCTGCCACTCACTGTCCGATAGCGCGCGGTGCAGGCAGGTCCCCCCACTGAACTCGTACACGAGCAGAGCGAGGAGTGAGCTGAGACAGCAACCCGCCTTCACCACCCCACGCACTGCCTGCCTGCACCGCTGGTGGTTAACCACCCACCCCTGGCACCCCACTCACTGTCTGATAGCGCGCGGTGCAGGCAGGTCCCCCCACTGAACTCGTACACGAGCAGAGCGAGGAGTGAGCTGAGGCTACTTTACACGAGCAGACTAGTTTCACACTCCCTGCCTGCCAGGTATCCCCCCACTCACTGCCCGATAGCGCGCGGTGCAAGCAGCCCCCAGTCATGAACTCGTACACGAGCAGAGGGGCAATAGCTGAGTCTACCCTGCACGAGTAGCTACCTTCCCCTGTTCCACCCTCGCTCCCTGCCAGCCAGCATTCCCCCACTCACTGTCCGATAGCGCGCGGTGCAAGCAGCCCCCCGTCTTGAACTCGTACACGAGCAGAGCCACTCCCTGCCCCCACCACCCCACTCCTTCCACCACCACCCCCCTCCCTGCCCCCACCACCCCACTCCTTCCACCACCACCCCCCTCACTGTCTGATAGCGCGCGGTGCAAGCAGCCGCCCCCGTCATGAACTCGTAGGCGAGCCGAGCGAGGAAAGAGCTGAGTCCGGTCTAAGCTGGTGGTGTACCACCCGTACCACCCATACCACCCGTAGCACCCCATTCACTCCCTGTCCCCACCGCCCCACTCACTGTCCACTAGAGCGCGGTGCAGGCAGCCTCCAGTCATGAACTCGTACACGAGCAGAGCCTCGTCTCGCTCCATGCAGTAGCCGTGCAGACGCACGAGATGGGGATGAGATAGCCGCCCCAGCACGATCACTTCTTTCTGCACGAGAAGGAATGGCGGGTGGAGTTGGGAAGTGGGGTTGGGTTGAGCTGAGCGCTCCATGCAATAGCCCTGCAGGCGCACAAGATGGGGATGGGATAGCCGCCCCAGCACGATCACTTCTTTCTGCATGAGAGGGATTGAGAAGGGTTGGAGGAGTGGAGTTGGGAAGATGCGTGGGTTGGATGCGATCCATGCAGTAGCCATGCGGGTCAGCGGGTGGGACAGCCGCCCCAGAACTACCATCTCATTCTGCAAGAGTTGGGAGGGTGGTGGGTTGTCGGGGTTTGGGGATGTGTAGGGACCATGCAGAAGAAGTGCAGACGCACTAGGTGTGGGGTGGGTGGGAAAGCCACCTCGATACAAACGCATCTTCATGCAATCGAGGGGATTGGCTTAGTGTGGAAAGATGGCATCATACCATTCATGCACGCAGCCGCAAAAAAAAAAAAAAAAAAAAAAAAAAAAAAAACCTCGCACGCACAAACGCATGCCCAAAAAAGAAGAACAAGAAGAAAAAAAAGTCTCGCACGCACCAGAAACTCTTCCGTGTACCGATCGCTCGCCTCGCGCATTCTCTTAATCGCCACCTCCGTCGGCTCCGGGCCAAGCCCATTCGGCCCCGGTTGAAGCACCCCCCGATACACGATCCCGAACCCGCCTTCGCCGATGCAGTTTCGCCGATGGAACTTGCTCGTCGCAGACTCGAGTCCGGCGAACGAAAACTGTCGCAGGGAGCTCGGGACGAGGTTCGCAGGGTTGGGAATGGCGCTCGCACTGTCGCTGGCACTTAGGTTCGTGCCTGAACTGTCAGCCGACACAAATTTGTCGGAGATTTGAGAGGTCCCGGTTTGGAACGAGGATATATTATGGCTGTTGGAGCCGCTCTTGCTGGCGCCGCTATCAGTAATCGTTGCGCTTGTTCCTCCGTGGTCTGATGGAGAAGGGACGGTGGAACGGGAGAATCGAGGTTATTACAGAAGAAGGGGGAACGGGAAGAAGAGATGTTAAGGTAGTTTTGCATTCGAGTCGGCGACCCCATCCGCAAATAATCAAATGAGAACTTTGAAGACACGGCTAACGCCGACTTAGACTCAATACTCAACGTGAGTGCGCGGCGTTACGACAGATTTTTCGACAATGAAAAAAAAAAGTCTCAACTTGGTTCTTTATGCATAGTATGCTCTTTTTGTTTCGGCAAAACCTGAATCGCCGATTAACAGGATTGCTTCGGATCGAGCGAAGCCTTATGACCAGACGATCCTAGACAACAGCCATTAACACTCTGCCGAGTCGTTATTCAGACGGTGTCTGAGCGACTGAGACGTAGGGGATCGGCGTACGTACCTAATGTCGACACGAGACAACCCATTTTTCTTCGCGTATAATAATTTGAGACGGCGGCTGCGCTGCTATTGGACCATTGGCCAGCATTCGGCTTTCAAACCATGAAGGGGAAAAAAAAAGGAAAAATAATAATAATTAAGGTCGCCTACAATCCCATCTCTCTGCTGCTGCTACGCCTGCATGGGACCTCAGGAGTTTATGTTTAGTTGAGAGTTGGTAAGGCTTAATACAGGAGGGAGCCTAGCACGACTACAATCACGAGGCGCTGCGAACGCGTTCCGTGCTAGTTAATATGGACGAGAATCATAGAAACCACTGCCACTCCGAACAATCTGGAAAAGAAGCGACAGAATTCCTTGCAAGTATAGGAACTGCCGTCCTGGAAGCGCTTTACTGCGACGAATAATGGGGCAGTCAAGTCCTAGTAAGGAAAAAGCTGGCAATAATTTTACCAAAAACTAAGGAATAATTCTAGTGACCTAGGAAATGGTTGTCGATGCTTCGGGTCAGTCAAGTTCTCTAAAGTACCACAGCAATGGCTCTGAGTGTTGTGTTACACTTCGCAACAATGTCGTCTGTACCTCGCGAATCTCCTGACCACCAATAGTCATCGCCAAAGGCCCAATTGAGCGATTTGCTTTCTGCAACGTAAGGTTTCCATGCCTCACGAACGGACTAGCCCAACACAGAAATGTTGACGGAGAAGGACGGACGGACGCTGTTTCCCTACCAGGATATTGTCGGACCGGAACCGGGCCGGGCCGGGACACCCTTCGAACCACACATGAACCGAACCAAATGCAGTTGCACTACATGACACTGTACTGGTCGGTGGCAGCCATGCCAATCGAGCGGACGGTGTGCTTTCGTGCCTGGAACGGCATGATTGCGGTGGCACGGCAAAACGGTTACTTTCACTGTCCACCACACCGCACCACACCAGACACGCACACGCACTGATCGTGCGAATCACATCACAGTCGCCCGCTCGTGCCTGAGTCGCAGAGACACTTGCGATGCGGACGCCTGGTGCAGATTGTTCGTGCGACCCTAGACGTGGTGCTGGTTTGGAAGTGGGACAGTTTACGAAGATTAAGTTTTTTTCTCCGACTCATATCTATTTTCACACATTTCTTGTGAAGGTTTGTTTAACTAAACGTGGCGACAGCAATTTCTGAGTTGTGTCACCAGGAAATGCGTGAATTCGGAAGAGTTGCGGCCCATCGGAGCTAGTGGTACTCCAGTTATAAATCCTTGTGTCCCAGAGTGCTGGACAATAAAAGGGAGAAAGTAGCCAGCCGGCTGTAGCTGTTGGATGCCAGACAAACTCACGCCAAAGCTCATGTTACAGTAAACAGTTACTCCACTACAAATCACCCTCCGCTGCTGTAGCGATGCGAAGGGAGGACAAACTGTTGTTCGCCTCCGGAGACTCAAATCTAAACTGTAGAAACAAAGAAAAACTTCTGCTTATATTGCAGTGTCAAGCTAGAGATTGCAAATCTCAATAATACACAATTCGTTAGCTAGCAACAAGCATCAACGGGCTGGCATTTGAAATGTGGTTTGCCCAGAAGTTGGCCACAGGAAGCAAGTATCGATGGCCATACCACTCCACTGCTGCCACCGCTGCATACGGCAACAAAGAAGGAAAATCCAACAACGAATCAGAACATGAGAGGAACAAGGATCAACAATGCTCGTCATGAATAAGCCAACACACACTGACAACGTTGATTCAAGCAGCACTACTTTGAAAACAGAAACTGAAACAACAATACCCCATGCGTTTTATACTGTCTTAACTTTGAGTGGAACCATTTGCAAAGAGAGGGCCAACCGAGATGTGAAAGAGAGACTTACATGTGAAGGCAAAGATGGGCAGCCGAGTGAGAGCACATAGCAGAGTCACCCAGCTGACTTTGAGTCAACTTTGAGTCAACTCAGGAGATAAAAACAAGGAACTTACATGTGAAAGCAAAGATGGGCAGCCGGGTGAGAGCACATAGAAGAGTCCCCGACCCTCCCACGAGCCCCATGTGCCTCTGCCGCCCTTCCAGCGCCAGCTCAGCAGCCCGCTGCACCGCCGCCAGCTCAGCGCCCTCCAGCACCTTCTCCACGTCCGACCATGACAGCGGCACCATGACACGTGGCAGCACCTCATTCGCCACTGCTTCTAGCCCTCCATTCTGCCACGCTGCCTGCCCCCTGAGCAGGTGCGCCCATAGTATATCCCCCTCCCCATCCCCTCCCCCCTCCTTCTCCTCCCCTGCCATGCTGCCAGGTTCACTCAAACCTGATGGTGGCCCTGCCGAGCCTGTGCCGAGCCTGACAGAGAGCCAGGGTCGGTGCAGCTGGGCACAAGCAGCGATGACTACAAGCACGCCGTAGGTCTGGGTGATGGCTGCGAAATAGTCACGTGCTGAAGGGAGGGGAAGGGGTGAAGAGGTGGGAGGGGAGGAGGGAAGAGACATAAGATTAAGCTGAGATAATACCAAGCACACCGTAGGTCTGGGTGATGGCTGCGAAATAGTCACGTGCTGAGGGGAGGGGAAGGGGGGGAAGAGGTGGGAGGGGAGGAGGGAAGAGACATAAGATCAAGCTGAGATAATACCAAGCACACCGTAGGTCTGGGTGATGGCTGTGAAATAGTCACGTGCTGAGGGGAGAAACAGGAGATAAGGCAAGCGAAGGGCACGAGGGGTTAGCAGATGCTGAATGCACGAAAGCATGGAAGCTTGGGCAGAATAAGGGAGGAAAACGGAACAGGGCAGAATGTGCGGCAAGGAACATGTAGAGAAACATGCCCACTGCTGACCTCCGGGCGCATCGAGCAGAGCAGAGAGCGTTCTTGCACCCGGACGCACTCTGGGGTGCGTCAGAGAGCAGCCTTTTCCTTCACGCCCACTGCTGCCTCTAGCGCATCTGCACACCTATCATATAGTATACCAGCAATAATGGTGCACTCTCTCACCTTTTGGAGCATCGAGCAGAGCAGAGAGCGTTCCAGCACCATCAGCCGCAGCCCTCTCCTCTCCAACACGCCCACTGCTGCCTCTAGCACATCTGCACACCTGCACACCTATTTCAAAGTCGACTTGAAACAACGGTATACTTACCTTTGGGAGTGTCGACAGCGCTTCTGCACCGTCAGCAGAAGGCTTTTCCTTCGTGCCCACTGCTGCCTTCAGTACAGCACATCTGCCTGCGCACTTACATTTAAGTCTTTCCAATATAACGGTATACTCACCCTTGGGATTGTCCAGCAGAGCAGTGAGCGTGCCAGCACCATCAGCAGCAGCTTTCTCCCTCACGCCCACTGCTGCCTCTAGTACATCTGCACACCGCGCCGCTACAGCCCCCCACAACCGGACAAACGACGCCGCCTCCGCCGCAGAAACTGCCGAGAGAATGTTGTACCAGAAGACCGCCCTTCGGTGCACCAGGAGCGCTGCTGTCAGATCCTGGGCGGCCTGAGGGGATGGATGGTAATGCAACATGGGGGAAATCAATAAATCAAGTCAAGAGCAATTGTGGGAAGGTTGGGGATAAGGTTGGCAGCGGCTCAAGTAGAAAACGGCCCTTCGGTGCACCAGCAGTGCTGCTGTGAGATCCCGGGCGGCCTGAGGGGATGGATGGCAGAAAGGAGGAGCAAGTGCAATCAGGGGAAGGTTGGGGGAAGGTTGGCATCGAATGAAGCAGACGACAGCTTCTCAATGCAAACAGAGGACAGGCTTTTTTCGAGTGACTGGAAGAGTCTGGATGAGCAACGGTGGGGAGGGCGGGACGTTGGCAGAGGTTCGGTTCAAGTGACAGAGTGCCCTCCTGTTTTATCATTGAACTCGTCCATTGGAAGCAACAGGTGACTTTTGAGTCGACTCAAAAGTCACCTCGTTCGGTTAAAGTGACAGAGTGCCCTCCTGTTTTTTCATTGAACTAGTCCATTGGAAGCAGCAGCCTTGCCATCCCCTCTGCTGTCTGTACTGTACCCCCAGCGACTCCACCACGTTCCCCACCCAGTCCCCTGCGTGCCCTCAGCACTCACCAGATCGCAGATCTCTTCTTGTTGGAACTCCCCCATTCCCCCCACTGACCGCTCATCCCACTCACTCCCAGCCCACTCCCTTGCTCACTGCCTGCACCTGCGTGCACTCAGCACTCACCAGATCGCAGATCTCAGCTTGCTTGAATTCCCCGTCAAAGGCAGCAGCTCGAGCGTCTCCCTTGCTCCGCCCCAGCAGCTCCCCCATCTCCCCCACCGACCGCTCGTCCCACCCACCAAACCCCACCCAGTCCGCTGCTTACCCTCAGCACTCACCAGGTCACAGATCTCAGCTTGCTTGAACTCCCCGTCAAACGCAGCAGCTCGAGCGTCTCCCTTGCTGCGCCCCAGCAGCTCCCCCATCTCCCCCACCGACCGCTCATCCCACCGCAGAGAGGCCAAGTCCCTCCCTGGCTTGCTGTCAGCTGCTGCCTCGGCTGTAGCATGTGGTGGTTCGTCCGCTGTAGCAGGGGCTGCTCCAGCTGTAGCAGAGAGTCAACAGAGTCAAATTCAGTCAGTGGAGTAAAAAATCAGAGGAGTCAACAAAGTCAACAGAGTCAACATGGTCAACAAGGCAAGAATCACGAACAGGTATCTCATAGACTCACCTTCCTGTAAGCTCGACATGCCGTCCCCTGTCTCTGTCGCGCCACCCTCAGCCACTTCAGATTCGGTGTCATTCCCAGCCACACTGCTTTCAGTGGTTGCCTCGCCGTCGTCCGTGTTTCCCTTGCCACCCTCTGTGGTGGTGGTTCCCTCGCCGCTGTCAATGGTTGTTTTGTCACCACCGTCTTGATCCACATGCTGGGTTGTTGGCACAGAAGGCGCTGCTGCTTTCCCCCTCTCCCTCCACCCTTCCACTGCTGCCGGGCTGCCCAACACTGTCTCCATCCGCTGCAAGAGAAAGCACAGAGGAAGAACAGAGGAAGCACAGAGGAAGCGCACATAAGAGATCAGAGAGCAAGGAATCAGAGACCATCGAGGCGCCTAAAATATCTGTCCAGAACGAAACTCCATCCGCTGCAAGAGGAAGCACAGAGGAAGCACACAAGGGTGATGAAGAAATGGAGTTGTTTCAGACGCCTCAGGAATCCTCCCAGAACGCTGTTCATCATGTCTCGAGCACGAGGGACGTGTCAGTAACAGACAGGTGGGTTGCGGAGCCCGACACGTCGCGTGTATGAAGAAGTGTTTTGAGACGTCTCAAAACAGGTGGGCTGCGGAGGCTGACACGTCGCTGTTCATCATGTCTCCACTCCAGCATGATGGCTTCAGAATTTTGAGACGTCTCAAAGCCCAGCACGTTGTTCATCATGCCTCGAGCACGAGGGACGTGTCAGTAACGGACAGGTGGGCTGCAAAGGCTGACACGTCGCTGTTCATCATGTCTCCACTCCATTTCAGCATGAGGGCTTCAGAGTTTTGAAACGTCCCAAAGCCCAGCACGTTGTTCATCATGCCTCGAGCAAGGGGGCTTAAAGGTAAACAGGTGGGCTGCGGAGGTCTTTAAGCATAGGACCTGTATCTTGTCTGTTTCCTTCTGGTGCTGTCAAAGGTAAACAGGTGCTGTCAAAGGTAAACAGGTGGGCTGCGGACGTCCCAAAGCCCAGCACGTTGTTCATCATGCCTCGAGCAAGGGGGCTTAAAGAAGAGAGAGAGGTTACGGACCTTGATGTCCTCCCTCACAGCAGCGGCTGCTTCCACGCGCCCGTCCCCCAGAGCCATGGAGTATTGCCCCTGGCAGTCTGGCAGCAGCTGCACCGCTGCAGCATGCAACCGGCACGCATACGCCTCCTCCATCCTTCCCTCCCTCACCAACTCCCCACTCAGCCGCCCAAACTCGTTCCGAGCAACACTCTCCGCCCCCTCTGCCAGCTCCTGTAGCGTCTCCTCCCACCACTGCTGGGAGGTTTCGTTGGGCAGGCGGATCACTGTGGGCTGAAGGACGGACTCTAGGGCGGCGGTGATGCTGGCAGTGAATACGCCCTCCCCCAGTTGAGCCCCCACTATGGGCAGCACGTGGTCTGCTGCCAGGCCTTGTAGCCCGCCCCCTGGCAGGCCGCTGCTGCGGTAGGATGCACCTGAAGCACCTGAGGCACCACCTGAAGCACCTGGGGCACCTGAAGCGCCGGCGCCGTTACCATCACCGCCACCACCACCGGTGGAACTACCCCCGCCGTCCACCGCCGCAAAGGACAAACCCGTGCCGTCCGCAACCCCGTCACCTTGCTCCTCCCACCCTTCCCCACTCTCCCCTGACAGCGACCCCCCCACCCCTCCCCCTCCCCGCCCTCTCTGCCCCACCTGCTCACTCATGGAACCCCTTAAGGGCACATCTGTGGGGGGGGTTCCTGGGGAGAGCAGGCCGAATAAACCGCCATACCCAGCAGCAGACGCCATTGCCAGAGGCACTCGTCCGGTAGAGAAAGTTTGACCCAACCGGGCCCCTTCCAGCCTCCCTCCTGCTCCTCCTCCTCCCCCCCCTGCTGCTGCTCCTCCTGCTCCTCCTGCTGCTCCTGTGCCTGCTGCAGTGCCTGCAGACGAGCTTCCATATAGAGACGAGAGCAAATCCATAAAGTTCCCGGATTTCCCAGTACCAGGAGCACCAGCAGCAGCAGCAGCAGCGCCAGCAGTGGTAGAGGCATCCTTGCCTGCACCTGCCCCTGCACCTACTGCTCTTACGCCTGTGCCTGCGCCTGAAGCCTGGTCTGCTGGCTTGCTGCTGCCAGTGGAAGGGAAAGGTCCGAGTGACAGCTCAGCGTTCTCCAGCTCAGCAACCGCCACGTCATCCCCGAAGAGAGAGAGGGGGATCGGACCAGCAGCAACACCAACAGCAGCCAAGCCGCCATCAGTCCCAGCAGCACCAGCAGCAGCAGCAGCGTGGGTTTCGGACATGGCTGCTGCTAGAGCTGCGGTTTCTGCTGCTGCTGCCACTGAGCTGCTCGGCACCAGCACTGGATTCGCTGCACCCGACTCATCCAGGCGAAGCGAAGGATCAGGGGTAACCGCAGTGCTGCTGAGGTCTACCCCCACAAATTCCGGGGAAGCGGAGACTGTACCCGTAGCGGCAGTATCCCCCCTCCCGCTGCCTGCACTCCCACTCACAGCAACGCTCCCTGCAAAATCCCCGAAATCGTCGTCATCATCATCAAATGAGATCTCCTTGCTTACAGCTGCTGTGGGGCCAGCAGCAGGAGGAGCGAAAGCAGGAGGCGGAGCAGCAGGAGCGGCAGCAGCAGCAGAAGCGCCAGGAGGCGGGGCAAAGGCCCCAAATCCCGCAGCAGAGAACTGGGGTGTTGAGTCATGGGAGGGAGGGAAGGGGGAGGCAGCTGCAGTCATGCCCAAACCAGATTCTGCAGCGGGTGCAGGCGCAGAAACTGCAGGGGCGAAGGCAGCAGAGGGGACTGCCGGGGAGGAGGAGAAATCACCAAAGTCGTCATCTGGGTCGAATGCCATGGCTGCTGGCACTGGTGAAGAAAAGGGTGCAGGTACGGGTGCAGGTGCGGGTGCAGGTGCGGGTGTTGTGGGAGGTGCGGGTGTGGGTGCTGCAGCAGCGGCAGAGCCAAAGGCAGTAGACAGCCCAGTGCCAAAGGAGTTAAGGTCCCGAGCTGCCTGAGTCCCAGATGCCTGTGTTGCGGGTGCGTCTGTCTCCCCACTAGAGACAAAGTCAGCGAAGTCATCCTCCTCTTGCTCCTGCTGCTGCTGCTGCTGCTCCACTGGTCCAACCCCACCTGCCGCTGCCACTGGTGCTGCTGCTGCTTCCGCTGCTGCTGGGGCCGGTGCTGTGGTTTGAAAGCCGGCCAGAGATATAGGACCGAGGAAGGACGAGGTAGAAGGGGCAGGAGCAGGGTGGGACACAGCAGCCACAGAGGAACTCACAGCAGGCACAGTGGGAGCGAGAGCATGGGGAGCATCTGTCTGGGAAAGATTCGAAAAATCCACCTGAGAGGGAATAGCCTGGGCAGCAGGAGCAGCAGGAGCTGGAGCGAAAGAATCTGAGAAATCCCCCCACTCGTCGTCCTCCTCTGCTGGCCCTGCCCCTGCCGCAGCAGCTGATACAGCGGCAGGCACAGCTGCTGCCGAAGGCACTGGAGCAGCCGCGTTAGGAGCGACATCAGCAGGTTCGGTTGAAGCAGCAGACTCGGTAGAGGCAGTGGGGGCTGCGGTGGAAGATGGTACGGATGAGAAGTCACCGAAATCATCATCCTCCTCATAGTCAGCTTCGAGGGACGATGCTGCTGGTGGTGCTCCTGTCGCCACTGCTACCGCCTCTGCAGCTGCCGTTGCTTCTGCTGCTGCTGATTCTTCTCCCTCCTGCTTGCTCTCCTCCTCCTTCACCTCCTCCTCCTCCGGTTCCTCCTCCTCCCCAAAGAGCGACAGTGGGATGGGGGCAGCAAAGTTACGCGGCTGAGGAACAACCACTGCTGGCGCAGCAGCTGGTTTCTTGGCTGCTGGTGCTTCAGGTGCTGCTGCTGTTGCTGCTGATGCTGATGCTGCGGCGGATGCTGCTTCCTTTGCTCCACCGCCCGCTCCTCCTGCACTTTCGCCTGGCCCTGCTCCTGGCGCTGCTGCCATTACACCTGGAGCCGCAACAGGGCCTGCACCTGGAATTCCACCTGGAGCGGCACCTGAAGCACCTACAGGGACTGAGCCAGGAGCAGCGCCAGGCGCGGCCCCTGGAGCAGCACCTGGAGGCCACCAGGGCATTCCCCTGGGATAATAGGCATACTGGGGGTACTGCGGCATCCCTGATGGCATTCCTGGGGGTACTGATGCTACTGGTGCGGGGGCTGAGCCGCCAGGGGAGAGAGGTTGACCTCCTTCCTGCTGCTGCTGCTGGTGCTGCTGGTACTGCTGGTGCTGCTGCTGTTGCTGCTGCTGGTACTGCTGCTGCTGGTACTGCTGTTGCTGGTACAGCTGCTGCTGGTGCTGTTGCTGCTGCTGCTGGTGCTGCTGCTGTTGCTGCTGCTGTTGCTGTTGCTGTTGCTGTTGCTGCTGTTGCTGTTGCTGTTGCTGTTGCTGTTGCTGTTGCTGCACGGATTCCCCCGTCGCTCCCTGGTCCGTCTCCCCCTGTCCCTTAAAGCCCTTCACGTGCATCTTCTGCGCGGCAGCCTCCCCCGCTTTCGCCAGCAGAGCACGATCCGTGCTTCCCAGCAGACTCGCAAACGCGTCAATGCCTCCTCCCGCTGCTGCCGAACCTGCTCCTGCTGCTGCCGAACCTCCCTCCGAAGCACCATCCGCTGCGGCTGATGCGCCGGGTTTCTGGGCGGCACCAGCGGCGGCGGCGGCAGCTTGGGCGGCGTGCATGTGTTGCATGTTCTGCATGTTTTGCATGTAAGCGGCGTACATCTGAGGGTTGACCATGACGGGCCCCATGGGACCCATTGCGTACATCGGATACGATCCAGGCATCTGCAAAACAATAACAAAATAAAAGTGCTTATGATGACAGTTTGCACGTGAAAATAAACTGGAAGAATCATGATCCAATCAATCAAGCTTTTTTTATCTTTTTAATCCTTCTACATGCAATCGCGATCGCAATCATTTCGAGGGACGACTCTCGGTCGGTATACACAATGGCTGCCAGATGCGACGAAACGAATACTGATCAAGTTCCATCGGAAAACAAAAACTGATATTTGAGGCCAAAATAGCATTTTGACTCGAAAATATCTCAAGGTAGCCCTTCACCTGTTGAGGGTATCCCTGCGGCATTGCACCAGCGTTCGCCGCGTGTCCTCCCTGCATGTGCACCATGTGCATTGCCTGCTGGTAACCAGCGACCTGCTGCGCGTGCGCTCCTCCCTGATGCTGCTGTGCAGCAGCACTCGCAGCGGCAGCATTAGCGGCAGCGGCGGTAGGATCCGCTCCCTGCGATGGCTGACTGGCCATCGCAAGTCAATCTCTGAGCTAAGAGTTCCGCAATGTGGAATAAAAGACGCAGTTCTATTTCCCGGTGAGTGAAATCAGCAGCCAGAATCGACGGGATGAACAACCGCAAGGATAGGCACTAGACTTCCTGGGACTCGTTTCAGGCACTGGCATCAATTTTGGAAGGAAGCAGGAACTAGAATGTAGAAAAGCTAAAAGCAGCAGTTTGTAAAAATGCAATCCCAATACCTGGTTGAACTTGACACCAGTGACAGGACAGGTGCAGGAGGGACGGAACAGTGGTTCAGTGCAATCCCAAGGCCTGGTTCGGAAGGCGTGGTTAGGTTCGGATGGTGTCAGCCGGAGAAAGTGTTTGTTTTGAGGTTGGGCGGTGGCACGTCACAGGCACCACACAGACCCCGCCCGTCACGTCCACTGCCTGATGAAAATTGATGCGACAGGTCAGTTGCCTGACGAGAAGGGAACGGGAGGAAAAGTGTCGACAGTGGGATTTGAACCCACGCCCTTTCGGACAGGAACCTTAATCCTGCGCCTTAGACCATCTCGGCCATATCGACGTGTTTAAATCTAAAATAAACACTTACCACATCTTCATGTTGAGTCCTGTCATACAAGCAGGTTATTTGTGTTTCTCACTTGCTCAATCTAGTTTGTAGGTCAAACAACTTCGGTCAGCTTCATTCCTCGCGCGCGTACCTCCCGTCGTTTTCAAGCACTTGACTCATCTTAGGTCCTCTCCTCGCTCCTTGTCATTTCTCGTAGCTCGGTTTCACTTCCTCGTTTCTAGTAAGCTCCACCTCTTCGTTCTTATTAGGCTTCACCGTGGCTGCGTCGCTTGAAGTAGGCAGTTAGGCCACTTCGTGCATTGCGTCGAGTCGAGTCGCCAAGATGATGGGCCTGTGGGAATACGTCCTTAATTGGTTACGCAGGTACGCTCAGCTCGCCGCCTTCCGCGCGTCCGACCCTCGATCTTGTGTGCCAGTTTGCGACAAACTATTTTCGTTTTGACTGTTCCGAAATCCTCGAAAGCATCTTCGGGCACACGTTGCCCTCGCACTTATCCGTCCCGTTTGTTCACGATCTTATCTCCTAGCTTCACCGTCTATCCCGCGTACCGCCTATCCCGTGTGTGTGTCTCCCAATCTCTACCGCGTCGCAGTCTATTCTTCCAGCAAGAGATGGAGCTCTCTCTTATCGGCCTCTCTCATGCGTGATGGCTTTCATTAACCGCCTGTCTTATCTCGTGTCTTTCCCCACCGCGTGTCTCCACGGGCTCGCAGTCTATTCTTCCAGCAGGAGATGGAGCTCTCTCTTATCGGCCTCTCTCATGCCTTCGTCGTGTCTTTCCCCACCGCATATTTCCACAACCTCCCAGTCTATTCTTCCAGCAGGAGATGGAGCTCTCTCTTATCGGCCTTCAAAACGCCGGCAAGACGTCTCTTGTTAACGTCATCGCTGTAAGTCCGTTGCAGGTTTGCTCGTCACTAGAAGATCGACTATCCGTTAGCCGTCAGCCGTCAGCCGTTAGCCGACCGTTGCCCTTCGACTCGCGGCGAGGATGCGGGTCCACACGGCCAGATCTTCCTGCGTGCCTTCAAACCCTTTTTGGATATCTCACGCGGTCTGTTGGATGGCGCGATCTCACGCTTCTCTTGCATCTTTTCTCGCCCTTTACTCCCTACCTTGTGCTCGGTCATTGACCGTTCCCTGCTTTCTGCTGACCTTTCGCTAATGTTTGCCTTGTTCTCTGCTGACCGTCCTCTTTCTGCTGTGCGCATGTGTTCCCTCTCCGTGTGCTATTTTCCGTGTGGCAATGCGTTCCGTCCGTTGCTTTTCCCCTCTGCGCAGACTGGCGGTTTCAATGAAGACATGATCCCAACGGTATGGTATGATATGACACGGCATGCCACTCCGCACAATGTAGCACCGCACTGTACCACGCCACACCCCGCAACATCCGTCCTGCACCGCACCATGCTATATTACACCACATCACGCCACTCCTCACCACACTCCACACATCACGATTTCCCTCTGCATGGCAGCTGCCTCTTACTCTACCTAACCCAGGACGCCACGCGTTCCCTTAACCAACCCTGCCCTTACTTTCTCTTTCGCTCTTCCTTTCCACAGGTGGGCTTTAACATGCGCAAGGTGACAAAAGGGAATGTGAGCATAAAGCTGTGGGATCTGGGCGGGCAACCAAGATTCCGGAGCATGTGGGAGAGATACTGCCGAGGCGTGTCAGCCATCGTGTAAGCAGCAACAACCCCCCGCATTCCGTCTCCACGTGCTTACTCATCAGGGTTAGGCTCTGTATTCCTTGCGTGCCTTCGCCTCACCACACTATCCCCCCTCCCTCTTCCCCACCCCTCCCCAACCCCCCAAGCTCCCAATGCTCCCCCACTCTCCCTCAGCTATGGTTGATGCATCAGGCCATGACAGCATCCCAGTGTGTTTTTAGGCGCTTCAAGAGCGGACTTCCCTTCACCTCAGTCCGCTTCCCCCCTTTTCCTCCCCCCTCTTTCCCCACTCTCCTCAGCTATGTGGTTGATACATCAGGCCATGACAACATCCCACTGTGTTTTTAGGCACCTCAAGAATAGAGGTGTGCCACAGAATTTCCCTTCATTCCCTCCAATCCCTCTCCTCCCACAACCGCAACGCCACCCCTCTCTCACATCCCCCAACCCCTCCCTCTCCTTTCTGTCAGCTATGTGGTGGATGCATCAGACCATGACAACATTCCAGTGTCACGCAGAGAGTTGCATGAGCTGCTCAGCAAACCGTCTCTTGCTGGAATCCCGCTGCTGCTGCTGGGGAACAAGTGCGACAAGGCAGAAGCCGTTTCACGGGATGCCCTCATTGAAGCAATGTAAGTGCTCTGTTTCTTTTGTTCTGTTCTTCCCCATTCCCTTTTTTTTCCAACAAATTTTCAATACTTCTATATTCTAAAGCTCCCTCGCTTTGGTGTTCCATTCATACAAGCTGCTTAATGAGCTGTTAATGTGCGTGGTGGTGGTGCAGGGGATTGAATCAGGTGATGCAGGGAAGGGAGGTGTGCTGCTACAGCATCTCTTGCAAGCATACGACTAACATCGATGTCGTTATTGACTGGCTGATCAAGCACGCCAAAAACAAGTCTTAGTGACTTAACGGCTGGATTTCGCCGAAGTTGGAGCATTTTTCCAACTCTTTTATGCCACGTGCTGCTTATTTTTAGAGCCCCTAACCTCTTGTATAGCCTTCTCTGTTCTTTAGAGCAAGTTATCCTATGGAGATTATCCAAATGGACACTGTTTACCTTTTTGTGGAGGAGAATTAGTGTTATTATTCATTCACTTTGTACACCTCATCTGGTTGAAAGCAAGCCACCTGCCACGTCGACCTATCCACGCCACACCTCACTTAGCCCTGCCAGAGCAGCGCTGAAGGCTGATTCCGCTTCACCCACACCACACTACACACCACAGCACCCATCATCATCCCTTTCTTCACCTCCCCAAACCCCCTCGCGGAAATTTCAAGGTTCGCACCTTTCAATCACCTCCTGTCTCCCAGCGAACACGGACCTGTTCCTTCAGGCATCTCTTTCGTTGTCCAACCCCCCGCCCGCCATGGCTTCCCTTTCTTTCGCCGCCTCCGTCGCCACGTGCCCTGCAGCGGTCGCTTCCCCGTCAACCGCGCCGGTTTCCTCGCGGCGACTAAACGTCGAGTCGGCGCACCACGTGAACAAGAAGGCGACGGGCCGCCACGTGGCGACGCGGCCGAAGAAGCACGCGGTGTGGGACAGGAAGCGCGGCGGAACCAAGGACTACGGGCCGCTGCCCGAGGCGCCTCCCGTCTGGCGTATAGAGGAGGATGAGAAGGCTCCGGCCGCTTCGTCTTAGACACACTCTATGGCGCTTCGATAGATCCTAGTCTGGGACAGCTAGCCTGGCTTACGTGTCAACTCATAACCCTGGGATTGGTGAATATGAGGGCAATGTTCCGTGGCTGGTGATTTTCTCTCTTTTTGACTGAGTACGAGGAGGTTAAGGCCGTGTCCGATTCTTCTTAGCCACGCCAGGAGCAGGGTTTAAGACGCGTTGTAGCTGGGTGCGGCTGTTGCCGTCTTTCTTCCCATTGTTGATTCTTCCTGCCGTGTATGCGTCGTGGAATTATATTGTACTCTCGGCTTCCCTTAACTACGTCGCTTCGCTACTACCACCACTGTCGAGTCATTATGCTGTCATCCCGATCAAGAGCATTCAAATCTCCCAGACGTGTTTTCCTGACGTTTGACACATTAATAGCCTTTTGCTTGTTATCCCTGAAGGGAGTTTCTACCACTCGAGACATTTCCGAGCCTTTTCGGAACGCGAGTTTTTTCCTTGCGCTGCATTGAAGCCTTTGCTTGTCAGTTGCATCCTTCGACTTCTCTTCCCTTCCCGCAACCATCCTTCACCTCGCATTTCCCCCACTTCCCCTTCTCGCTCGTCTCACTTCCCCATCCCCTTCCGCACTCCCTCCCGCCCACTCCTTCTCTTCCCGTTCTCATATTTTCCTTCCTCTCGCCTTCCCCCAGCCCTCCCTCCCTCCCTCCCTCCCTCCCTCGCTCCCTCCCCTCCTCTCCCCCTCCCTCCCCCCCTTTCTCCCTCCCTCCCGTTTCTCCTTTTCCTCCCGTCACGTTCCCATTTTCTCTGTGCCTCCATCCCACTTGTTTGGCCCTGCTTGCTGGTCACTCAGCTTGTTTTCCATTCACTCCATATTCTCCTTGCGCTCCGCACTGTGACCTTGTGCATCCGCCGTCTGTTGATTGATACAACATAACATACCTCCCCTCAGTGTTCACCCCTTTTGTTGGCGGATGCATGTTAGAAGTTCAGGCCATGCTTCGTGCACATCTACTAGGTATTATGGGACGTTGCATTGCAAGCTCAAAAGGAATGTGTATAAGAAAGGAAAGGCCATTGCTGGTAAGCAAGAGGGCAGTGGCAGTGCTTACCATGCGAAGGGATGGTGTGGAAAGGTGCAATGGATTGAGATGGAGTAGATGAGTGGAAAGTATGATGTGACAGATCAGGTTTTCTCAGCCAAAGACAAACTATGGCTGGGTGTTTCAGCTGTCAGGTTAGCCTTGCCCCTGAGCAGAGCCTTGTCAGCTTCACGGGCCTTGGTTCTGCACCACACTTGAACATGTGCATTAGCCATAGCTATTGTGATGGCTTTGAAGATCTGGTTTAGAAAAGTTCACTTCGTTGTGATGTGCAATTGCGTTACATAATTCCTGATTGGTCCAGCGGCAACACTGTACACGACACCCTAACTCCCAAGCGAAATACAGTACCACAAGCAGCATCTGAGCGGAGCTCAAGCCATTTCTGCGTCCTCCGCATACCAGCCTCAGGCAGTCCCTCCGCCACACCCTTCAACTCCCCCCCAATTCTTTCCTTCCCCCGCCTGCCATTTTCCGACAGACGGGGATCTGCGCGAACGTTTCAAGGTTTCGCCTCACTGCTGGAGTAGCGGGGAGGGGAAAATGGGGACGGGGTGCGGGGAGGCCTTTCCGCCATCCGAGTTCCAGAATCCAGATTCTGGAAGAGTTGCAGGAATGGATAAATCAGCTGGAGATACTATTTCACCCGAGTTTTAGGTTCCCAATTTTATCCTTAGTTTCAGTTTGGAGGTTTATGGCCAGGAGTGAGGTTCTGACCGACTGGTCGTGCCGGTCATTAGTTCCATCAGTTATTTTGTCGCTTGAATGCATGGCGAATTTCCGTTCCGTCTGTACCAGTAAGAAACAGCAGCGCATACGCTTCACCTCGATACGTTCAACTTGATGCTTTCCATTTGAACCCTGTTTCTAAATCCTCAGCCGAAGGCAGTTTGCAGTCGCATTTTCAGACTTAGAACCACCCAAGGACGATTAAATATATCCATCAGGGCTGAAGCTGTCAGTCACCTTAGAGTCTATTCATCCGAATTGAACCTATCAGTCAGTATAGAATATATCAGCCATGGCGAGCGCAGCTTTGTTTCCGTCGCTCGCAGCGGCGTCGCGAGAGCCTCCGGAAGTCGTGCTGAGCAGAGTGCGCGAGTTGGTGCTGCAGATCGTGGCTGGCGGGAACCACCCCGAGACGAGTCTGTTGCATCAGCTCGCCGCGATCATTGAAGATGAGGAGCAGTGGTGAGATTTCGTCCCATGCCTTTCTCTCCCTCCCTTCCATTTTCTCGTAAATTGTATTGTTCTGATTTAGTTGTTTCCCTTTCCTCTCCTTTCCTTGACGCATGTATTCTGCTGACTGTGTAGTAAATCGCGCAAAATTTCTCCCCTTATCCGTACTCCTGGCGCGTGTTTCAATTCCTCAGGTACCAGCAACAAGCGGGTTTTTCCTCGTCTAATCTCCGAGCCTCGTACACTATCGGACGAATTGTCAACTCTCTGCGCGTACGTCAATCGTCCCTTAACACGCATCGTACCTTTTCATCGAATCCATTCCACTCACTTTCCCTTCATTTCCTGTACAAATCGGCTGTTATTTGTCACGTGTGCACCTCCCTGTAGCACCTGTTATTTGTCATTCTTGTGACAGGTTTCTCACGTTTCCTGAGTTCCACGTTGCCTGAAGCGGCAGCTACCGTTTATGGTTCATATGCCGGACGTTCTGCAAGCTCCCGAACAAAGCACGTCCACCCCAACCAAGCATCTCCCCTCCTCCCATCCCCCGCTGTTCCCGCCAGAAGGACGGCGATCTGTACGAACCGAGCCGCTGCTTTCTGTGTCGAGTCGGAAGTCAGTAAACAACCACCTCACACCCACCCGCACCACCCAACAACCTCACTCAATTCGTCCTTCCCTGCTCCCGCCAGGAGGACGACGACTTGTACGAGCTGCTCACGTCGAAGCTGCTGCTTGTTGAAGCCGCTCAAAGTTCCCCCCTAACAACCCCCCCCCGCTCCCCCACATCCCCCAATCCTTCCCTGCTTCCGCCAGGAGGACGACGATCTGTACGAGCTTCTCACGTCGAAGCTGCTTCTCCAGTCATGGCGGTCGCAGGAGGAGCGAGCAGCGGGAGCTCGCCTGCTGCTCTCCTGCGCGATGAGCTTCGTGGTGAGTCTTTGGGTGTCAAACCCGCGTGGAGAGTTCTTTACTTTGGGTTTTCGAGCTAGTCATTGCCTGGGCGCCCTCCCTACTCGCCCAGCCCGTTTATGAAATGCGCTTCCGCATGCTTTTTAGCTCAATTGCTCCTCGGGTTTCCTTACACCCTTCCTCCCCTCCCTCCACCCTCACCACCAAAACCAAACCCACTGGGATTACGCCACACAGTAACGTGGGGTGTTCGAGGAGGGCATTCTCGAGCGGGTGATTGCCTGGGCGGCCCTCTCTTATCACCTTTCCCAACACCATTCCCCCCCACCCTCCACCCACCTTCTCCCCTCAAACAAAGCCCACTGGGTTTACGCCACACAGTAACGTGGGGTATTCTCGAACGAGTGATTGCCTGGGCGGCCCTCTCCACTCACCCCTCTCCGCCCTCCTTTCACACCACACAGTACCGTGGGGTGTTCGAGGAGGGCATTCTCGAACGAGTGATTGCCTGGGCCGCCCTCTTTAATCACCTTACCCAACTCCCTTCCCCCCCACCCTCCACCCACCTTCTCCCCTCAAACAAAACCCACTGGGATTACGCCACACAGTACCGTGGGGTGTTCGAGGAGGGTATTCTCGAACGAGTCATTGCCTGGGCCGCCCTCTCCACTCGCTCCTCCCCACCCCCTGCCCTTGCCACCGCCACAACCGCCGCCGCTGCCGCTTCTGCTGGCGCTGCTGGTGGCGCCGGGGGCACGCAGGAGGAGGAGGAGGAGGAAGAGGAGGAGGAGGATGCAGGGGAGGAGGGTCAGGGGGGAGATCGGGGCGGAGCGGGAGGAACCGGGGCTGGCGGCGCTGCTGCTGCTGGTGCTGCTGCGGGTGGGGGTGGGGGTGTTGGCGTGAGTGGTGGTGCTGGTGGTGGTGGTGTGGGTGCGAGGGCGAGAGCATCGGCTGTTCTGGCGACGGACATGCTGAGGACGTTCTCTACTGGACTCGTTGCTGTTGCACTCAGCTCGTGAGTAGCACGCTCACCTCTTCGTCATTTGAGAGGTCTCGTGCCACACTTCGCCCCTTTAAACCCCTGGGTTTCTACATCCATATTCTTTCCTTGAATTCCTCCCCCCACTTTACCCCCCAACCCTCCCCCCCCTCCCCATCTCCCATCGCAGCAACGAGGCGGCGGTGGAGCAGGTGGTGCGCACAGGCCTCGTGCCGCACCTCGCCCCTTCAAACCCCGCATACTCTAGTCTTTCCATCCATACTCTCCCCCAACTTCCAACCCCCAAACCCCCCACACTCCCATGCCAGCAACGAGGCGGCGGTGGAGCAGGTAGTGCGCACAGGCCTCGTGCCGCACCTCGCCCGCCTGCTGCGCAAGCGAGTGCTGGGGCGCGCTGCTGCTCCCTCTGCAGGGGGAGCGCGAGGCGAGGGCGGAGCAGCAGGGGGAGCAGGCGCAGGGGGAACAGGAGGAGCAGCAGGAGCAGGAACAGCAGTAGGAGGAGGGGGAGGAGGAACGGGGACGGGGGTTGTGGGAACGCCAGGGAGCAGAGGGAGCAAACTGCGTAGTGTGAGTAGCAGGGGGGAAAGTAGCGCGGCTGCCACCACCGCTGCTGCTGCTGCGGCCGCAGCTCAAATTGCTGGATTAGCAGCGGAGGCGAGAGCAGCAGCATTAGGGGTCGCGGAGGCGAGAGCAGCAGAGGAGAAGGGGAAGACGGAGGCTGTAGGTGAGGGGGTGGGGAGTGGATGTGGAAACACTGCAGCACAGGGGGATGTTGTGATGACTGCCCCTGCGAAAGCCGCATCCAACCCCCTTTCCCCGTTGGGGAAGCTGAAAGACTTAGGAGGGGGAGGGATGGCAGCGGAAGGGGGGAGAGAGGAGCTGGGAAGCAGAATTCGAGGGGGAGGAGGGGGTAGGAAAGCTGGATTGAAAGGGAGCAAAGCAGAGCAGGGCGCAGGGAAGGGCAAGCATGCCTCCGCCACTGGAACTGCTGGGTCCGAGGTTGAGGGGTCAGGGTTTGGGGGTTCGGGGGCTGGGGGTTCTGGGGGTTCAGGGGTTCCGGGGGGTTCTGGGGTTAAGGGTTCTGCCCTTGAGAATTTACTCCCTCCTCCGATAGCTGTTAAGGTCGGGGCCGTGGATATAACTGAAGCGGTTGCAGCGGCGTGGGATGCGGCGAGAAGGGAAGCGGAGGCGGCGAATGCTCCTGCTGATGTGGTGGCTGCAGCAGTGGAGGCAGCAGCAGAATCGGTCAGGCAGGCTGCTGCTGATGCGTTGGACGGGGGAGGAGGAGACGAAGCTGTTGCTGCTGCTGCTAGGAGCGCTGCTGATGCTGTGAGACAGGCTGCTCAGGCAGTGAGCGGGGCAGGGAGTGGGGCAGGGAGTGGGGCAGGGAGTGGGAGCAAGGGTACGGCTCCAGATGGTCCAGGTGCAGGTGCCTCTATTCTACCATCTGGAGCTGCTGCAGTAGATGCAGCATCAGGAGAAGAATCAGGTAGAGCAGCCAACGTAGCAGAGCAGATCCCACAGCCCACCACCCCAGCACCATCACATGACCCCACCTCTGCACCATCCCCATCCCACGCCACCCCCACCAACCCCACCACCCCCACCGCTCCCTCCTCCGTTCCATCCTCCGTTCCATCCTCCGTTCCATCCGTCCCCGCACGGCCTGCATGGCAGCTGACCCGGCCGCAGGTGGCGCAGCTGAGGGAGTGGTACGCGGTGCAGACACTGGCCGCACTGGGCGAGTACATGGAGGTGCTGGGTCCCGTGCTGCATGAGAAAGGGGTTGACGTCTGCCTTGCCCTGCTGAGGCGTGCCAGTACAGGTGGCGGTGCTTCTGCTGCCGCTGCTCCTGGCGCAGGGGATTCCACAGCAGGTGCAGCAGCAGCAGCAGGCGCAGCAGGAGCAGCCACAGCAGCAGCAGGAACAGCAGCAGCAGGAGTAGCAGCATCCAGTGGGCCGATGAGTGTGCTGCTGCTAGCAGACGTGTTGAAGCTGGTGTGTGCGCTCACAGCACACCGCAAGTTCGCCACGCTCTTTGTGGACCGAGGGGGCGTGCAGCTGCTGCTCTCCCTCCCCCGCGTGCCCCACACCCTCCCCGGCCTCGCTGTCGCCTTCTTTGCCCTGGCCTCGATTCAGGTAACATTAACAAAAGCATACCCGCATCCCCGACTTCCCTCCCTCCCCGCGCTCTCTCACTCCTTTGCGCCCTCTCCCCTCCCCGCCCTCACTATCTCCCCGACCTCCCTTCTTCCCTGCTCGAATGCCCTCCTTCCCAGCCTCCCTGCCCTTCCTCACCTCCCTGCCCTCCCCTACCCAGAGTATTAGATAGTTTGCTCCTTTCCCTTCCTCCCCTCTTTCCTCTTTCAGAGCATCATGGAGCATGTGGCCTCCCTCACCCAGTTCGTCATCCGCTCGCTCATCTCCACCCATCCTGCCCTCCCCGACCTCATCCATCTCCCTCGTCCCCTCTTCCTCTCCCCCTCTTCCCCCCCAGAGTGTCATGGAGCGTGTAGCCTCCCTCCCCCAGCCAGTCATCCGATCCCTCATCTCAGCATCGCTCCACCTGCCCCCCTTCCCTTGTTCCTCTCTCCCCCCTCTCTCTCTTCAACCTTCTCCACAGAGTGTCATGGAGCGTGTAGCCTCCCTCCCACAGCCAGTCATCCGCTCCCTCATCTCAGCATCGCTCCACCTGCTGCTGTGCCCCTTCTCCCCCTCGCGCCCTCTCCCCCCTCTCTTCCACTTACCCTCCCTCCCCCCAGAGTGTCATGGAGCGAGTGGCGTCCCTCCCACAGCCAGTCATCCCCTCCCTCATCTCAGCATCGCTCCACCTGCTGCTCTTCCCCTTCTCCTCCTCGCTCCCTTGCCCTCCCCGCCTCACAACAGAGTGTCATGGAGCGAGTGGCGTCCCTCCCCCAGCCAGTCATCCGCTCTCTCATCTCAGCATCGCTCCACCTGCTGCTCTGCCCACTGGACCACGCGCGGCGCAACACGGCGCTCTTCTTTGCCGCCTCCCTCGCCTTCCCGCGCCTGCTCCACGAATTTGACGCCCAGGGGGGCCTCCCCGCCCTCATCGCTCTGCTGAGGAATGCTGCTCAGTTAAGGTCCGGGGGCGGTGGGGGAGGGGCGCTGGGGGCGGGGGGAGGGGCAGGGGGAGTGGGGGGGGGAAGAGGGGGAGGAGTGGGAGGGGGAGCAGTGGCGGAGGGGGCAGTTGGAGCAGGGGAGATTGGATTGGGCAGAGGGGTTAGGGGAGGGGGAGGGGGAGGGCCAGGGGGAGGGGTAGGAGGGTCAGAAGAGGGTGGTAATTTCGTTGGAGGGGGCTTGGGCTTGCCGTTTCCTCTGGGAGGGGGGGTGCATTTTGCTGCTGGGACTGCTGCTGGGGGAGGCACAGATCCAGGTTCAGATTCTGTAGGCGGATCAGCAGGAGGAGCAGGGGGAGGAGGAGGAGGAGCAGGAGCAGCTGCAACAACACTACTGGGTCTGGGCGGTAGCAGCAGCGGCACTGGCAACGGCACCGGCAGCGGTACTGGCAGCGGCACGATGACATGGGAGGTGTTGACGCCAGCAGGGAGGCAGGTGGCTCACAACACGTGCATTGCCCTGCGCCAGTACATGCGAGTGCACCTCGTGCTGCACCTAGAATCCCTGCATCACCCTTCTTCCGGTGCCTCCTCCTCTGTTGCTCCCTCTGTTGCCCCCTCTGTTGCCCCCTCTGTTGCTCCCTCTGTTGCTCCCTCTGTTGCCCCCTCTGTTGCCCCCTCTGTTGCCCCCTCTGTTGCCCCCTCTGTTGCCCCCTCTGGTGCCCCCTCTGTTACCCCCTCCTCCTCGCTCTCCTCCCGCCACCGCACCCAAGCGCCTCAGAAGCCGTCGCACCACGCACGGAGCCTCACCAGAGCCGTAGATTCAAGTGCACAGGCGGTGGAGGGGTTGATGGAGGCACTGATGGTGTCGGACCGGCGCCTGGCGCATGCGTTTGTGCGCTCGCGGTGGGGCGCCGCTGAGAGGCTCGTGGAGGAGGGGGCAGTCGATGTGCTGCTGGAGCTCTGCCAGGTGGGTTCCTGTTCCTCTGTCTGGGGCTCAGGGCTTTGCGTGTGATTAGGTCTTGGGACCAGGCCAAGTCTAGAATCTGGTTTCTGAAACGCCTCAGAAGCTGCCTGGACGGATGTAGGATTCGAGTGCACAGGCAGTAGAAGGGTTGATGGAGGCACTGATGGTGTCGGACAGGCGCCTGGCACACGCGTTTGTGCGCTCACGGTGGGGCGCTGCTGAGAGGCTCGTGGAGGAGGGGGCAGTGGACGTGCTGCTGGAGCTCTGCCAGGTGGGTCTGGGGTGCAGGGCTTGGCAGTGCAGTGTACCTAGTGGCTCTGGGGTAGGTATAGGAGCTGAGTGTTTGTGCGCTCGCGGTAGGGCGCTGCTGAGAGGCTCGTGGAGGAGGGTGCAGTGGATGTGCTGCTGGAGCTGTGTCAGGTGGGTGCGGTTACCAGGTGGGCTTGGAAGGGTCTAGGAGTCACATGTTTGTGCGCTCGCGGTGGGGCGCTGCTGAGAGGCTCGTGGAGGAGGGGGCAGTAGAAGTGCTGCTGGAGGTCTGCCAGGTGGGTTCAAGCAGGGAGGGCTTTGCAATGTACCTAGTGCCTCTGGGGCAGGTCTAGGATTCAGGGGTTTGTGCGCTCGCGGTGGGGCGCTGCTGAGAGGCTCGTGGAGGAAGGGGCTGTAGACGTGCTGCTGGAGCTCTGCCAGGTGGGTTCTACTGTCTGGGTTTAGGGGTTTGCGTGTGGGTAGGAGTCAGGGCTTAGGGCTCATATGGAGTGACCCTTTCTCGCTCTCTCCCCTCTCTTCCCGAGCCTGTTGTTTTCTCACTTTAGCTTCTTGTCACCACTCCCCTATCTCAACACCCCAAAACCCGCACCCGAAACCCTAATCCTTTCCCATGCAGATTCCTCCTGGCGAGCGCAGCACGGGGGAGCTGGCAGAGCACGCCCTGGGGGTGCTGCATGTGCTCACCCTGGCGCCCTTCACGCAGCGCCACGTGTACTCCCCTCTCTCTCCCGAATGTCAATCTTTCCTTCTGCAGATCCCCCCAGGGGAGCGCAGCACGGGGGAGCTAGCAGAGCACGCCTTGGGCGTCCTCCACGTGCTCACCCTGGCGCCCTTCACGCACCGCCACGTGCTGTCAGCGCGCGTGGCCTCGCACCGCTGCGGCATGCCCGTGCTGCTCGACGCTGCCAGCGGGGCCTTTCTCCTCCTCTTACCTCTCTTGCTTCCGCTCAACACTCACCTCTCTCTCTCTCTCTGCTCCCTCTGCTCCACTCCCCCATCTCCAAACCCCGCCCGAACCCCACACCCAAATTTCCCCAGGAGAGCGCAGCACGGGGGAGCTAGTAGAGCATGCCCTGGGGGTGCTGCACGTGCTCACCCTGGCGCCCTTCACCCACCGCCACGTGCTGTCAGCGCGCGTGGCCTCTCACCGCTGCGGCATGCCCGTGCTGCTCGACGCCTCGATACTCACCTCTCTGTCTGCTCCCTCCGCTCCACGCCCCCATCTCCAAACCCCTCATTGGAAACCCGAATCCCCTGCAGATTCCTCCAGGAGAACGCAGAACGGGAGAGCTAGCAGAGCATGCGTTGGGAGTATTGCACGTGCTCACCCTGGCGCCCTTCACGCACCACCACGTGCTGTCAGCGCGCGTGGCCTCGCACCGCTGCGGCATGCCCGTGCTGCTCGACGCTGCCAGCGGGGCTCTGCTGGCCGACCCCGAGGTCATGCTGGTCGTGGTGCTCACTCCCCTCCCTTCCCTCCCTTCCACCCTTTAACCCTGTGGCAGATTCCTCCGGGTGAGCGCAGCACAGGGGAGCTAGCAGAGCATGCACTAGGCGTCCTGCACGTGCTCACCCTCGCGCCCTTCACGCACCGCCACGTCCTTGCTGCCCGGGTGGCCTCCCACCGCTGCGGCATGCCCGTGCTGCTCGACGCTGCCAGCGGGGCTCTGCTGGCGGATCCCGAGGTCATGCAGATCGCGCTGCTGGTGGTCGTGAATCTCGTCTGCCCATTCCCCACGTATTGCTCCGTGGTGAATAGGCAGAGTGCTGGGCATTGTGCTGGTGGTGGCGCTGCTGTTGCTGCTGGGGCTGCTGCTACTGGTGCAACTGGTGGTGGTGTGGGGGTAGCTGCGATTGCGACTCCGACTTCAAGCCGTGCGCTGCCACGCATCACTGAAGAGACTGAAGCAGGGCCACAGCAGCAGCAGCAGCAGCAGCAGGTGCAGCAGCCGCAGCAGCAGCAGCAGGACGTGTTTTCTACACCTGTGCGTGCAACCCCAGCAGCAGCACAACAAACACCAGCAGCAGGAACAACACCCGCAACACCAGCAGCAGCAACAACACCTGCAACACCAGCGACCGCAACACCTGCGACAGCACCAGCACCAGCAGCACCTGCGGCTGCCACAGCACCGCCCTTAACCCCTCAGGACCGCAGGATGCAACCCCTCGGGCTAGGCCTGGGCGCGACAGGGCTAGCAGCTTACATGGAGCAAGGATACAAGCAAGCTAGAGACGCCCTGAGAGCCAGCAACGGCATTAGAGTGCTCCTACAGCTGCTGCACTGCAAACCCCCCCTCCCACCCCCTTCCGCGGATTGCATCAGAGCTCTTGCCTGCCGGGTGCTGCTGGGTCTGGCTAGAGATCCCGCCCTGACGCATATTCTGACGAAGCTTCAGCTCGGGCGGCAGCTTTCGGATCTTCTGCGGGATGTGTCGGCTGGGCTGCCTTCTGCGTCTGTGCAGCATCAGCAGCACCACCACCGCCATCATCATCATCAGCAGCAGCAGCCGAATCAGCAGCAGCAGAATCGTCAGCAGCATCATCATCGCGGGTCAAGTGGCATGGGTTTGCAGGCTCTGCATGCTCGGTGGCTGCACGAGTTTCAACAGTCAGCTCTTGAACTTATCTCTGTAAGTTATCCACCCATCACACCAAGTAGCTCTCATTCACCAGAATCACCATCATCACCACCACAGGGGATCGAGTGGCATGGGGTTGCAAGCTCTCCATGCTCGATGGCTGCATGAGTTTCAACAGTCAGCACTTGAGCTCATATCAGTAAGCTATACACCTGTCACTACAAGGTACGCATTCACCAGAATCACCATCACCACCACCACAGTGGGTCAAGTGGCATGGGGTTGCAAGCTCTGCATGCGCGATGGCTGCATGAGTTCCAACAATCAGCACTTGAGCTCATATCAGTAAGCTATACACCTGTCACTACAAGGTACGCATTCACCAGAAATACCATCACCACCACCACAGTGGGTCACGTGGCATGGGGTTGCAGGCTCTGCATGCTCGGTGGTTGCATGAGTTCCAACAGTCAGCTCTTGAACTCATCTCTGTAAGTTATGCACCCGTACGCATTTACCAGAATCACCAGCACCACCACCATTGGGGAATGAGTGCCATGGGGTTGCAGGCTCTGCATGCACGAGTTGCAATCGTCGGTTCTTGAACTCATCTCTGTAAGTTATCCACCCATCACACCAAGTAGCTCTCATTCACCAGCATCACCATCATCACCACCACAGGGGGTTAAGTGGCATTGGGTTGCAGGCCCTGCATGCTCAGTGGCTGCATGAGTTCCAACAGTCAGCACTTGAACTCATTTCGGTGAGTTTACCACCCGTTGCATCGACTCATGGCTTTCAATTTCCCAGCAGTGTGCTCTGGTGACTGGTATCATTGTGGTAAAACGTTCCCACGAGCCTCGAACAGTAACTGGTGCGTTTTCTCTTTTCGTGCTCTGTGCCCCCACCTCACTTCATCTCCTCGCCTTTGCTTTTGTGCTTCTCCCCTCAGCTCACCACGAGTGCAGGCAAGGCGACGACAGCAGCAGCCACGGAAGCAACGGCGCCCACACTCAAGAGGTTGGAGCGAGCTGCCATTGCTGCCGCCACTCCCATCAGCTACCCGCCCAGGTGAGACTAGATACAGTCAGGTTCTGAGGCGACTTATAAGGTGACAGCAGCAGCAGCCACGGAAGCAACAGCGCCCACACTCAAGAGGTTGGAGCGAGCTGCCATTGCTGCTGCCACCCCCATCAGCTACCCCCCCAGGTGAGATTTGATTCGATACAATCAGCTGCTGTGGTAGCCTCTGGTCAGTCTGGTCTGTTATGTTCAGTGTTTTGACTGCGAATCACCACAGTCTACCCTGGTCAACGCTGGTCAACGCTGGTCCCTCTCATCCCCTTTTCTGCTAGCTCATTCAACTGATAAACGCTCAGTCTTCATTTTTTTTTTGTCAATCTCTTCTTATTCCTCCTCATCCCCCTTACAGCGAGCTCCTTCAACTGATACACGCCCATTTGGTATCAGAAGGCCTACACCAGTCAGCAAGCCAGCTGCTAGCAGAATCGAACATTGCCCCACTCGTTGCCATCCCCATTCCCTCCTCCTCCCCCGCCGCCCTCCCCTCCTCCTCTCTTGCTCCCTCTGAGACTTCCCCCAATCGCCACCTCCCCCATGCTCTCCCTCCGCCCCCTCCTCCCCTTCCTCCGTCCGTCTCTGCTGCACCGGTTGCAACGTCAGCAGCGGCGACAGCTGGCAGTTCGGGATTGGCTGCTGAGGCAGCAGGGGGGCTTAGCTGGCCCAAGGGTAAGGCAGGATGGTTCTTCTCTGCTGGAAGGAAGGGTGAGGGGAGAGGGGAAAAGGGGGAAAGAGGGGGGAGGGGAGGGAGAGGAGGAGGAGGGGGAAGGGGGGATAAGATCGCGGAGGGAGGGGAGAAGCGAGTGGGGAGGGGAGAGAGGAGTGGTATTCGGCAGAGAGCGGTGGGAATGGATGCAAGTGGGGCGAGTGGGAGTGGGGTTGCAGGAGAGGAGGAGGGGCAGATAAGGAGGCGGATCTTACTGGGGAGCTCCCTGGCGGAGAGGGCTAGAGGGAAAGGGGAAGGCAAGGGGGAAGAGACCGAGCAGGAGGAGCAGAGAGGGGCGAAAGATGCAACGTCGAGCAAAGAAGGAGTGAGGGGTGGAGGCTTGACCAGTGGAGGCAGCAGCAGCAGTGGGGAGAGGGAGAGCACACCTGGAAAGGAGCAGGTGGCACGGCGTGTATCTGGGAGGAAGCGAGGGTACAAGGAAGCTTCTGCCTCTGCTTCTGCAGCAGCGCTTCTCGTCTCTCCTCCTGCCAAACGAGCTTCCACGCTTCTCCCGCCTCTCCTCTCCCCTAGTCCTTCCATGCCGCTGCAAAGTGGTGCTGGCTCTGGAGCAGGGGCAGGGGCAATGGCAATAGCTGCGGCAGGAGCAGGGACAGGGGCAGGGGCAGGGGCAATGGCAGGGGCAGGTACCAGTGATGCTGCTGACGCTGCTGCTGCTGCTGCTGCTGGCGCTGGTGTTGGTACCGGTGGGGATGGCTCTGGTGGTGGTTCTTCTCCTGCGCCTGCTGTTGCATCTGGTGAAGCACCTGCAGGGTCTGCTGTATTAGAGGAGCCTGTTCCATGTTCAGGTGGGGGTTCAGGTGGAACCTCAGGTGAGGCCTCAGGTGTGGTTTCAGGTCGAGTAACAACTGCAGAGGACAGCTTCGGCCAGGTGCAGGTGCCAGCAGCGCAGGCAGCACCGGCAGCAGCACCAATGGTTCCAGTGGCAGCTCCACTCCCACCTGCACCCCCAGCAGCAGCACCTCCCCCAGTTCTACCTCCCCCAGGCGAGCTCAGCACAACCCTAGACGGAATCGTCACGTCATATCTGAAGCAGCAGCACAGGCAGTGCCCCGCCCCCATCACCACCCTCCCCCCCCTCTCCCTCCTCCACCCCCACACCTGCCCCGAGCCCCTCCGCTCCCTAGACGCTCCCTACAGCATCACCCGCCGCCTCGCCGCCCGGCAGCGCCGTCCGCCTGCGGGCGGGTGGCAGGGGCGGCGGCTGGATCGGCAGCTAGTGTACAGCCGGTTCCGCCCCTGGCGAACCTGCCGAGAAGATGCGGTTATGATCACCAGCGCGTGTTTCTTGCTGGGGGCGGGAGGGGCGGGTGGGGGCGGCGGTGTGTGGGGGTTCGGGGCGGGGGGTACCGGGAGTGTTGGGGGGTTCGGTGGGGGGAGGCGATGCTTGGCAGTGGGCACGACTGCGGGGGAAATAAAGCTATTTGATGCGGAGGTGGGGGTGGTTGTGGATAGCTACTCGTGCCACCAGTCTTCCATCGTTTCGGTGTTTTCGGCACCGAGACCGGGGTATGATGATGATGACAGGGGGTTTGTTGGACGGGGGCGGGGGAGACAGCAGGAGGAGGAAATGCAAGACGGTGCATCAGCAGCAGGAGGAGGGGTAAGAGCAGGCGGAGCAGCAGCAGGAGGAGCAGCAGGAGGAGCAGGAGCGGGATCATCAGCAGCGTCAGCAGCATACGGAGCAGCGTCCTGCCTCCTCCTCTCCTCTACCCGAACAGAAGTGAAGCTCTGGGATGCAGCAGACCTCTCTCTCGGGCCCATCCACACCTTCCCCTCCTGCCGCCTCGGCCGCTTCAGCCACTCAGCTCGCACCATCGGTGCAGTGCGGTGCGACGGGCAGTCAAGGGAGTCGAGAGAGGTGCTGCTGTATGACGTGGCGACAGGCAGGCTGCAGGAGACGCTCAGAGAAGCGCCCATTGCTGCTGCTGCTGACTCGTATGCTTCTGGCGCTGCTGGTGCTGCTGGTGGCGCTGCTGGTGTGGTTGGTTGGGGTGGTGCAGGCGGTGGGGTTGCTGGTGGGGGTTTGGGAGGCGGGCGCGGTGGGAATGGCGGCTTTGGTGGTCTATTTGGTGGTTACGGCGGTTACGGTGGGTTCGGAGGGTTTGGAATCGGCCTTGCCGGTGCTGCCGGTGCCACTGCTGCTGCCACCACTGCTGGTATTGGCGGTGCTGGCGTTACAATGATGGGTGGAGGAGGAGGAGGGGGAGCGGGAGTGAGTCGCACGTTAGGGTCCCAGGCGGTGCATTTCTCCCCACTTGACGATCTGCTGCTGTGGAAGGGGTTCCTGTGGGACCCGCGCATCTCTGAGCCCGTGCATCGGTTCGACCAGTTCTCGGACTACGGAGGAGGGGGCTTCCACCCTTCAGGCAACGAGGTGAGTGGATTATTTGATTTCTTGTACTCTGGTGGGTCCATCGAAGCTTGGTTGAAGGCACAGCACCTGCTGCTGTGGAAGGGGTTCCTGTGGGACCCGCGCATCAGTGAGCCCGTGCATCGCTTCGACCAGTTCTCGGACTACGGAGGAGGGGGCTTCCACCCTTCAGGCAACGAGGTGAGCGCACTTAGGGTTTGGTACTCAGGTGGGTCCCTTGTAGCTTGGTTGTGGGTACAGCACCAGCTGCTGTGGAAGGAATTGGGTTCCTGTGGGACCCACGCATCAGTGAGCCTGTGCATCGCTTTGACCAGTTTTCGGACTATGGAGGGGGGGGCTTCCACCCGTCCGGCAATGAGGTTAGTGGATTATCGGGGGTGTTGACAACGAGGTGAGTGGATTGGGTGTTGTTTTGTTTGCTGCACCTAGAAGTGAGCAGCAAGCAGGGGCGTCCACCCTTACCTCTCCTCCACCCTGTCCCTCCGTTCCCTTCCTGCCCTTCCCCCCCCACACACCAGGTGATCATCAATTCAGAGGTTTGGGACCTGCGAACGAGGAAGCTTCTGCGCAGCGTCCCATTCCTCGACCACACCTCCATAACATTCAACGCCACTGGCGAAGTCATCTACGCGACTCTCCACAGCACCACAGACGACCTCCTAGCGGCTGTGCACGGCCGCGGGCGCAAGCACACTCTCTTCTCTCCCTCTCCTCCTCTCCTCCAACCTCTCCCTCCGCTCCCCCGTCTCCCTCTCCCACCCTCCCCTTTCACCAGGTGATCATCAACTCAGAAGTGTGGGACCTGCGAACACGGAAGCTTCTGCGCAGCGTCCCGTCCCTCGACCAGACCTCCATAACATTCAACGCCACTGGCGAAGTCATCTACGCGACCCTCCGCCGCACCACCGACGACCTCCTAGCAGCCCTGCACGGCCGGCGGCGCAAGCACCCGCTCTTCTCCGCTTTCAAGACCATCGACGCGACTTCGTACACTGACATCGCAACCGTTAATGTGGAACGCTGCGTGCTCGATCTCGCCGTTGAACCGACAGACGGGTATGTCGCAGCAGTGGTGGTAGATGAGCATGGGGAATCGGATTCTGTTGCGCGGTTGTTTGAGGTTGGGAGGCAGCGGGTGGTGGAGGAGTTGGGGGATTATGATGGGGAGGATGAGGGGGAGATGGAGGATGAGGGGGACGAGGGGGAAGAGGAGGAGGAGGATGAGGATCAAGAAGAGCTGGATAGTTTAGAGGAGGAGCTTTTTGGAGGGTTTTCGGAGGATTTGGATGAGGAGGAGGATGAGGATGGGTTTGGGCAGCCGCGGGTGAGGGCTGTGAGGGGTGGGGGGCGCGGGGGGGTGATGAATGGGGAAGTGGAGGAGGGGGAGTATTTGGGGAGTGATTCAGAGGACGATGAGGAGGCGGCACAGACGCTTATGGATTTGATCATGGAGGGACCGTCGGATGAAGATCCGGATAGTTTCAGTGACGAGGATGATGATGATGACGATGACACAGATGAGGGTGATGATGAAGATTTAGATTTCGAGGACGAAGACTGGGAATCTGAGGATTCAGCCCAAGACGAATAGAATCTTATTGATATTCAGTGGTGGTCATGTGTGTGCTGCAGTTGCTAAAGCAAAAATTCCGCTATTGTTTCCGGGGTGTTGGAGGTTAGTTCTCAAATATATAAGGTTTTGTCCGCATTTATTAGTTCTCTCACTAGTCGTGTAACACCTTTTCTGGTAGCGTGTCGGATTCATTGTCAGACCGAAACCCACAGCGCGCATGCCAGTGCACTGTAGTGCTGCCTGAGGATGCGGTTCGCCAGCAACACTTTCGGCGAGTGGCGTCAACGCAGCTTTTATCATCTCATCCAATCAACGCCCCTACTCAGCAAAAAGCTTGGATGACGCGGAAAGATCAAGGCTCGTAAGTGGCTAGAGGTAAAGTGCCGCCACCAGACCTGGAAACTTTGCGAGGCCCAACGAATCGGGCCTATTCTTCGCCGATATTGTTTTTGCTTTGCTGAGTTGGCATACTTTTCACTCGCTGTGTGGGCCGCATTCACCGCTTGGGCAGTTCACCTGAACGAATCCACAGCTCGTGGGAGGGCCGTTCCGCAGTCGGGAGGTGTGATTGGGCCAAATCCCTCGAAGCTTGCTTCCCTCCAACCTTTCTGCCCATGCAATCCATCCACACAGCACGCGGAAAATCCCTCCCATACCAACAGTCACGAATGATGCTTCATTTCGCTCAAAATCACTCTACTTGCGCGAACGCCGTAATTGGAGCTTCGCGAACGCCTTCGCACGTTTTCCCAACCTACCATCCACACCAACTGCTTCCGCGTCGCGCTTGCGAAACTGTTCGCAACAGAGGATGATCACGTTGAGGTCAGTGTATACGCGGCTCGCAGCTTCGGTTCGGCATCAGTAACCTCGAGCCCAAGTAGCCGCCAGCTCACACGCAGTTGCGTGTCGATTGGTTGATGTCTTGAGCCATGGGAACAACCTGATGCCAGACCTATCTCACCGTCTCTGCGGCTTCGGTTTTTGCCACACACCCCTGCCTCCGCCGTTGGTTCGGTATGTTCATACACCATCCCAATCTCCTCTTCCCTCCTCACTCCCCCTGAAAGCCGGTCACGCCATGGCTTCTCCTTCCTGAATTCCGTTTCGACCACCCACCCAGCCCGTGCTATTCTCGCGTCCCTGTGCGACCATAGCAAGCATAAACACAAGGCTTTTGCAATCAGTTGAAATCCACAGTGTTGATCACTTCTGTTCTGCAACCACCTCTAGACCAGTGACTGAAGGATTCAGCTGACTAGATACAACAGCATTTTTCGAGTCGAGGCCACAGGTAGTTTCTACTGACTCACGTCCGTCGTCCAATTTCCTTTGAGAACACTCTACTGTTGCTTCAAATTTTGACAATGGCGCCGGCTGACGGATCCCCCGCTGCCGATCCGGCTGTGAAGCCGTCCACAGCATCGGCAGAAGAAACAATCCCCACAAACGGCAGCGCGAAGAACGGCAACGGCCGCGCGGCGACATCCGCAACCCCCGCCGCGACGTACGTCGGTTCGCTCTGCCAGCTCTCCGCGCCGCTACCGACAAAAGTCGCGCTGGTCAACGCGGATCAGCTCGTAGAATCCCCGGAGGAGGAGGCGGAATGCGAGACCTTGGAGCAAGCCGTGCTCTCCGCCCTCGACGCGCTTCCCAAGGACATCGACCGTTACATGTACCTCCGCGCGACGCGCGAAGCTGACGAGGAGTTATTTTTCCGCCTACTAATGGATCACACGGAAGAGGTCCTTCCGTACATTTACACCCCAACGGTCGGGGAGGCCTGCCAACGCTACCACGAGCTCGGGATCGTTCCTAACGGGATCTACCTCACGGCGGCGGATAAGGGTCACTTTCTGGAGCGTCTCCGCGCCGCGTGCCCGCACAGCGGCATTCGCGTGATCGTGGTGACGGACGGAGAGAGGATCTTGGGTCTCGGGGACCAGGGCGCGGGGGGGATGGGGATCAGCGAGGGTAAGATCCTGCTTTACACCGCGATGGCGGGGTTAGATCCGCGCCGCGCCCTGCCGGTGATGCTGGACGTGGGGACTAACAACGAGAAGCTTCTATCGGATCCGGGGTACAAGGGCCTGCGGCAGCGGCGGATGCGCGGTCCGGAGTACGACGAGCTCGTGGACGAGCTCATGACCGCGGCGCGCACGTTGAAGCCGCACGTGCTGCTGCAGTTCGAGGATTTCGGCAACTGCAACGCGTTTCGGCTGCTCGAGCGCTACCAACACACGCAATGCTGCTTCAACGACGATATCCAAGGCACGGCGTGCATCACGCTCGCGGGATTGCTCTCCGCGCTCCGCGTCACCGGGCGGCCGCTGGAGGAGCAGCGGATCCTGTTCCTCGGCGCGGGGGAGGCGGGGACCGGGATCGCGCAGCTGATCGCGCAGGCGATGAATCGACGGTGCGGGATGGATATCGACGCGGCGAGCCAGCGGTGCCTGTTTATCGACTCCAAGGGACTCGTGTGCAAGGAGCGCGAGTTAAAGGGGGAGCTACAGGATCACAAGATCCCGTTCGCGCACGATCTGCCGTACCAGCCGGATTTAATCTCGGCCGTTCATGAGTTCCGGCCGACGGTGCTGGTCGGCGTGTCGGCGCAGGCGAACGCGTTCTCCAAGGAGGTGGTTGAAGCGATGGGTGTTTATAACGATCGGCCCGTGATCTTCCCGCTCTCCAACCCCACGTCCAAGGCGGAGTGTTGTTATAAAGAGGCGTTCAAATACACGGGCGGGCGCGTGGTGTTCGCGAGCGGAAGCCCGTTCCCCCCGCTGGTGGCGGAATCGGCGGAGCCGGGCGGCGGGAAGGTGACGATGTACCCCGCGCAGGCTAATAACGCGTACGTGTTCGGGCCGATCGGCATGGCGGCGCTCTTAACGAGGTGCAGCAGTATCACGGATGACGTGTTCCTGTCGACCGCGGAATTCCTGGCGCAACTCACGCCGCAGGCGCACCTGGACCGCGGGATGCTCTTCCCCTCGCTCTCCGCCATGAAGGTAAGCACGCGCGCGCATGCTCTCCCTCCCGCGCCCCTTTCTCCCCTCCTCCCCCCTCCCCCACCCCCTTTCACACTGTTCCTTCAACTGGTCGAGTATTAACGCATACAAGCCTGTCGGTTACACATTCTCACCTTAACAACTAACAAGGATAATAATTCATGATTCACCATTCAACTCAAACGCCTGTTACAGCTTACACTCACGATCCTCACCACGCCTCTTCCCCCGTCGCTTTTCTTCCTTGCAGGCGCTCGTGCCGCTGCTTATAGCGCGTATATCGGAGTTCATGGTGGCGGAGGGGCTGGGCACCCCCCCGCCCGCGGTGGGCGCGGGGACGGTGGCGGAGTGGGAGCGCCACGCGCGCGCGAGCATGTACCACCCGCACCCGCACGGCCCGCTCGCGCTCCCAGCTGTCCCCAGCGATTCGGAGGAGCTCCAGGGCTGGGCGGGCGCAGGCGCAGGAACCGGCGCAGGCGCGGGCGCGGGCGCGGCGCAGGCGGAGCAGAGTCAGCTGCAGGACGTGGTGCATCAGCACCTGCACATGCCGGGGGGACCGGAAGTTGAGGTGAGCGCGGGGGACATGGCGGAACTGGCGGACCTGTGTCGTGGCTTCTAGCTGTCGGGGTGCTTTTTAAACCATCACTTTTGGGAATGCTCAGGCACCTCATACGTCTTCTGAGAATTCTCAAAGGGGACTTTCAGCTGTTGAATCTCTCACCCACGATCATACCCCCTTACTCACGATCCTCACCCCGCAACCCATTCCCTCCGCGCCCTGTTCCCCCGGAGTGCAGGTGAGCGCGGGCGACATGGAGGAGCTGGCGGACATGTGTCGCGACTTCCAGCAGTACCTGCTGGACCGCCGCCTCACTCACGACACCCCCTTTATGGTTCCCCCCCCTTCCCCTTTGAGTGCAGGTAAGCGCAGGGGATATGGAGGAGCTGGCGGACATGTGTCGCGACTTCCAGCAGTACCTGCTGGACCGCCGCCTCAAGGAGAACGGCGTCGCCGTCTTCATCAAGCCCTCCGCGCTCCCCGCCGCCGCTGGCGCTGCTAATGGCGTGGCTGCTGCCGGCGCTGGATTGAAGGAGATGCGCGGGGTGTACCTGACGGGCAAGGACCGCGGGCAGATGCTGCCGCGCCTGCAGCGGTGGGGGGAGCAGCGCGCGGAGGTGGGGAAGGACGTTGATGCGGTTCTGGTTGTGGATGCGGAAATCGTGCTGGGGCACACAGGCAACAGCAGCAGCAGTGGTAACAGTAACGGTAACGGTGCTAGTAATGACAGCATGGCGACACTCTTCTCGTCTGCCGCGGCTGCGTGGCCGAATCTGGACCCGAGCAGGTGCCTTCTCGTGTGCCTGGATACGGGCACGGATAACCCCGAGCTGTTGGCGGCTGGGTCGGGTTACAGGGGGCTGAGCCAACCGCGTTTGAAGCCGTCTCGTTACAATTATATCCTGGCGGAGCTGCTGGGCGCTGTGCGCGTGTGGAACCCGAGCCTGCTGCTACAGTTCACGGACTTTTATAACAGTAACGCGTTTAAGCTGTTAGATAAGTACCGGGGGACTCACTGCTGCTATGAGAGCACGACCACGAGCAGTGACAGTGGAGAGGAGGAGGGGGAAGAGGAGAGCAGCAGTGAGAGTGATAATGAGGTGGCAGCGGCAGGAGCAGGAGGGTGGGGAGGGAGTGTGGGGGAGGGAGTGGGGGGAGAAGGAGTGGGAGAGTATGTGGTTCCGCAGGTTCCTGTCTGCTGTGTGTCGCTGGATGGGATGCTGTCTGCTTTGGAGGAAGCTGATGGTGTTGTAGCGGAATTCGGGGTGGCTTTTATGGAGGATGCTGCTGATGGGGAGCCCAGGGGCGCGGTGACCAAGGGGAAGGCGTCGACGAATGGCGTGGTGACAAGTGGCAACGGAGGGGCAGGAGTGGGAGGGGAGACGGCAGATCTGGTGGGACTGCAGGACGTGAAGGAGTGTACTCTGGATGGTGGCAATAACGACCTTATCTGCAGTAAGTGGAATCATTAAAAGAACTCGCTAGAAACCCCTTCTTGCCATAGGGAGCGATCAAACTCTTGCAGAAACCCACTTTCCTGCTTGTTCTTGGGAAGTAGCCCGCTCATCATGTCTCTTTTCCCGCTTCTCAAATCCCTCCTCCCCCTTGTTTCCCCTCTAAACAGCTGGTTCTCTCACCTCTCCCTCGGGTCCCTCAACATGCAAGACCCAGTACAAGACCCGAGCTGTTCCACACAGGGTCGCCATTCCCTCCTCTCTGCCATACTGCACGCCCTTCACTCACTCCCGCTCCCTTGCTGCTCCGACCCTGCGCCTGTCTCTTCCTGGGGCGAGAGTGGGTGGTTTCCGAGCCTCGGCTGCTGGTTCGGTGAAGGCGGGGGCGTCTGTTGCTAGGGTGGCTGGCCTGGGTGTTGGGCTGAGGTTTGCATTTGCTTGAAATTTATGGTAGGTTGAAGAGTGGATCTTGTATGGCTTTTATCCCCTGTTGGTACGTAAGAGTTGATGTATGCAGCTAGGTAGAAGTACCATCACATGTTAAATCAAAGCTTACCCTGAGAGCAGTGCAAGCATGTTGTAAGATACAACATACAAGGATTAAGAGTTTATTTAGAATGAAGAGCTCAGGGAGTGGCGAGCATATCAGAGAGATTACAGCCACAGCCTCTTATCCTCACACAAAAGTTGCATGATAAGCACAGGCTGATGACAATGCCAGTATCCATTAGTATAAAGAACGATGTACAGCAAAAGTCAAAACGATAACCCAGAAGCATACAAGCTATGAAAGATATGGTGGTGGATCTGCCATTAGTGAATCTGCTTACAGATAATCACAGGCGAGCACGTGTCAACCACAAGAACCTCCTTGGGGCTTGCGGGCGCGCTGGCGGGCTGGCTGGCATGCGGTGGGAGGTTGAATCTGCTTGGCTTGGCTCGGTTTCAATGGAGCGCGCTCTGCTGCAGACATCTGCTCATGAATGATGCACTCAATGGCTCGTGCATGGTGCACCGAATGGCTCATGAATGGTGCACTCAATGGCTCATGCATGGTGCACCGAATGGCTCATGAATGGTGCACTCAATGGCTCGTGCATGGTGCACTGAGGGTAGTGACCTCAAGTGGCTTGCGGTGACAGGTGCTGAGGGTATAGGAAGGTAACAAGCAATCCAACACAGGAGCGGGGAGGAGCGCAGAGAGGAAGGGAGGGGGCCCAGGGGAGGTGTTTGTGGGGGAGGAGGGCGGAGAAAGGGAGGGGAAAAGTTGTTGAATGACAAAAGGTTGACGGTTGACATTGATTAATACTGCTGAAAAAAAGTATAACACAGATGGTTGACATTGTTAAGAGGGGAGAAGGAGCAAGGGACAGGCAAGATGAGGGTTACGTGGGAAGGGGGTTGAGGGGAGTGTGGGGCGTGAGCAGAGAGAGGTTGGAGAAGAGCAAGGAGATGAGGGGTGGAAGACGGAGGTACGTGGGGGGAGACGAGGGGTGAGCGGAGGGGGAATGACAGATGGATCGTGAGGGGGTGGGAGGGAGAGACTAGGGATATATAGGTGAGGTGATAAGGGTGAATGGGTGGGGAGAAATGAGGGGTGAGCGAGGGGAAAGACGAGGGGAGGCCGGGGGGAACGGGGAGGTAATAAGGGTGAATGGGTGGGGAGAAATGAGGGGTGAGTGAGTAGAAAGACGAGGGGAGGGCGAGGGGAACGGGGAGGTAATAAGGGTGAATGGTGGGGAGAAATGAGGGGTGAGTGAGGGGAAAGACGAGGGGAGGGCGGGGGGAACGAGGAGAACGCAGGGTGGATAGAGGGAGGGATGAAGAGCGAGTGAGGGAGGAGGGGAGGCATGGTGTGGGGAGGGGATGAGAGGTGAGCCAGACTGTGTGTTGGGGTGGGGGGGTCGGGGGGGAGAGGAGGGGGTCAGGTGGGGGGGAGGGGAAACGGGGAAGAGAGGTGGGTGCGCGGGAAGAGGGGTGAACGCGGGGAGTAGGAGGAAATCGCAGGGAGATGAGGGGAGAGCGGAAGGGGGGCGGAAAGGGGTGGGGAGAACGCGCGGGGAGAGGAAGCGGGGGAGGGTGTGGGGGGGGAAACGGGGAAAAGGGCCAGTCCGCCACGTCGCCTCTCACAAGACTTCTGTCATGGGGAAAGGGGCGGAACGGGGAAAGGGGCGGAACGGGGAAAGGGGCGAAACGGGGAAAGGGGCGGAACGCGGAAAGGGGCTCCACGAGGTGCCTCAGCGCCACCGCGCGCTTCTCCAGCGCCGCCTCTCGCCACGGAAAACAGGGCCTCCCGCCACTTTCCCACCATCTCATCCCCCCTCTCCTATTCCTTCCCGAGCCATCCTTCGCAAACGCGATCTCCTGACGCGTTCCAAAAACGCGCCATCCTGGGGCTTCCATTTCCGAGGCGTCTCAAATAACCCCGCCATCCTGGGGCTTCCTCCGCCTGCCTAACGAACCGAGGCGATGATAAAATCGGCACTGCTCGTGCGTTCGCATGCAAATGCCTCTTAAAACCCGCGGGCCAAGATATTCAAGCTTAGGAAGGTTGGTTGGGAGTTAGGACGGTAATTGCCCGTGAGCCAATAGGAGTGTCGAAGTTGTTGGACGAGGTGGTAGAAACTCGGGAAAATCACAGGCGATTTTGGGACACCCAACCAACAATAGGAAGGATGAACCAAATTTGGCCTTCTTGGCCCCCGGGTTTTAAAGCTTTCGTATACATTTGAAAGTACTGTTTGTGGTGGAACAGTAGCCACCAAGATTTCGCCCCAACGAAAAGAAAGGGGCTTGGCGAGAGGGGTTGCGAAAATTTGGAGGATTGAGGGGTGGGAACACGAGAAACTCTCCCGTCACCCAACCCTTGAGCGACCCTCACAAACACAATGATAAGCAACTAATTACTAGGAAAGGCCTTGATAGAACTAGCAGCACAACTACTCACCCTGACCTAATCGCCCGTGGTAAGGGGACACGGGGCTATACAAAAGCCTTTAGCTGCAGGGGCGGTTTGCATTCGGATGGGCCGTCGCGTAGCATTCGTCGAGCGATGCCATGCGGCACACGGGCGAGCGCCTCGACGAGTTGCATTATGCTGGCTCGCCGTGATGCAATCGTCGAACCAGCGATAAATTATTCAGTGAGCCGTCGCGTTCCACCCTGCGGGCTTCTCGCCTAGCGCCATCATGCATCGCGAAACCCGCTGATGGCGAAACCCGCTGATGGCGAAACCCGCTGATAGCGATACCCGCTCCTCGCCAAACACGGTGCTCGCGAAATCCGTTTAGCGCGTCACCCGCTTCTCGCCTCACCCGCCGCATGCCTCACCTGCGAATCGGCAAAATACTTGCCTCACGCGCTGCTTGGCTCATAACCTTATTTCGTCATTTCCCCCCCTTCCGCCTCTCGTTTCCTCAATCTCGTTTCCCCCCCTTCTCCTCTCATTTCCCCCCCTTCCGCCTCTCATTTTCCCGGAGCTCCTCCCTCTCGTTTCCCCCCTTTCTCCCTCTCGTTCCCCCCCCCCTCCGCCTCTCATTTTCCCCCCTCCTGCCTCTCGTTTCCCCCCCTTCTCCATCTCGTTTCCACCCATCCTCCCTCTTGTTTCCCCCCTCCACCCTCTCGTTTCCCCCCCTTCTCCCTCTCGTTCCCCCCCCATCCGCCTCTCCTTTCCTCCCCTTCCGCCTCTCGTTTCCCCCCCTTCTCCCTCTCATTTCCCCCCCTCCTCCCTCTCGTTTCCCCCCCTTCCCCCTCTCGTTTCCTCTCCTTCTCCTCTCATTTCCCCAACTTCTCCCTCTCATTTCCCCCTTTCTCCCTCTCATTTCCCTCTTCCCCCTCTCATTTCCCCGCTTTCCCCCTCTCGTTTCCCCCCCTTCTCCCTCTCATTCCCCCCCCTCCTCCCTCTCGTTTCCCCCGCTCTTCCCTCTCGTTTCCCCCCTTTCTCCCTCTCGTTTTCCCCCCTTCCGCCTCTCATTTCCCCCCTTTCCCCCTCTCGTTTCCCCCCCTTATCAATCTCGTTTTCCCCCCTTCTCCCTCTCATTTCCCCCCCTCCTCCCTCTCGTAACTCCCCCTTCCCCCTCTCGTATTCCCCCCTTCCCCCTCTCATTTCTCCCCCTCCTCCCTCTCGTTTCCCACCCTTCCGCCTCTCGTTTCCCCTCCTCCTCTCATTTCCCCAACTTCTCCCTCTCATTTCCCCCCTTCTCCCTCTCATTTCCCTCTCTTCCCCCTCTCATTTCCCCGCTTTCCCCCCTCTCGTTTCCCCCCCTTCTCCCCCTCATTTTCCCCCTTTCTTCCTCTCATTTCCCCCCCCTGCTCCCTCTCATTTCCCCCCCCTGCTCCCTCTCATTTCCCCCCCTGCTCCCTCTCATTTCCCCCCCTGCTCCCTCTCATTTCCCCCCCTGCTCCCTCTCATTTCTCCCCCTGCTCACCCTCACTTCCCCCCTTTCTCCCTCTTCATTTCCCCCTCTCCTTCCCCTCATTTCGCCCTCTCCTTCTCCTCATTCACCTTACCCTCATCTCCCCATCTCGTTTCTCGCATTTCCCCTACTCCGTCCCCTTGTTTCCCCCTCTCCCCTCATTTCATCCTCTCGTTCCTCTTGTTTCCCACATTTCTCCTTATCCGTCCTCTCCTCTCCCTTTCTCCGTCCCCTCCTTTACCCCTCCTTCCCCTCATTTTCCCCTCTCCCTCCCCTCATTCCCCCCTCTCCTTTCCCTCATTTCCCCCCTCCTTACCCTTCCCTGCCCCCACCCTGCCGGCAGGTGAGTGTGCTCATGCTGCTGGCGCGCGTGAGGGAGCTGCAGCGCCCTCACATGCTGCACAGTCCTTCCCCTCCTCCCCCCTTTGCTTACCCTTCCTTACTTCCCCCCGTGCAACCCTTGCTCCCCCTTTGCTTCCCCTCCCTTCCCCTCCAGCTTACCCTCTGTTTCTTCTGCAGCTTGCCCTTGTCTATAATTTTGTTTGTTTGTTTTTTTTCAACAGCACGACACGAAGGACATCAGGGCTTCTCATTCTGAGTGCTGCTCTTTGCAGCTTAGTGAAACCAAATCAATAGGCAGGAAGTTCCAGCTTGTGTGTGCTGTTAGCGTATCAATCAAGTGAATTGATAGCATAGCATAGCATGTCATAATACATTGAAAATGTTGATGACTGTACCTAGACACAACTTCCCTTCTTTGCGTACAGCATCCTTGCATGATGCACATGGGCACAGCACAGCATTGTATGCGACATCTGACGTGTGTTGTACTCAACTCAAGATACATGGAGGGTTGTCCTCTGCTCTAGCTGGTCATAATTTGTTCAACACTTGTTGAAGAGAGCTGAAAAGAGAGAAAGGCAGCAGGAGAGGGGAAAAGAGGGAAAGGCAGGAGGATCGTGAAAAAGAGGGGAAGGGTAATGCAGGGTGGGGAAGGGTAATGCAGGGAGGGGAAGGGTAATGCAGGGAGGGGAAGGGTAATGCAGGGAGGGGAAGGGTAATGCAGGGAGGGGAAGGGTAATGCAGGGAGGGGAAGGGTAATGCAGGGAGGGGAAGGGTAATGCAGGGAGGGGAAGGGTAATGCAGGGAGGGGAAGGGTAATGCAGGGAGGGGAAGGGTAATGCAGGGAGGGGAAGGGTAATGCAGGGAGGGGAAGGGTAATGCAGGGTGGGGAAGGGTAATGCAGGGAGGGGAAGGGTAATGCAGGGGGGAAATGAGAGGGAGAAGCGGGGAAAATAATGAGGAGAAGGGGGGGGAATGAGAGGGGGAAGGGGGGTAAACGAGAGGGGGTGGCGGGAAGGGGTAATGGGGAGCGGGAATGGGAAATGGGGAGGCGGGAAGGGGTAATGGGGAGCGGGAAGGGGAAACAGGGAGGTGGGAAGGGGAAGCGGGGAGCGGGAAGGGGAAACGTGCAGGCTGGAACGAGAATTGAGGAGTAGAGAAGGGAAAACGGGGAGGCGGGAATGGGAAATGGGGAGCGGGAAGGGGAAACGGGGAGGCGGGAATGGGTAATGGGGAGCGAGAAGGGGAAACGGGAAGGTGGGAAGGGGAAACGGGGAGCGGGAAGGGGAAACGGGGAGGCGGGAATGGGTAATGGGGAGCGGGAAGGGGAAACGAGAAGGTGGGAAGGGGAAACGGGGAGCGGGAAGGGGAAAAGGGGAGCGGGAAGGGGAAACGGGGAGGCGGGAAGGGGAAACGGGGAGCGGGACGGGGAAACGGGAAGGCGGGAAGGGGAAACGGGAACGGGACGGGGAAACGGGGAGGCGGGAAGGGGAAGTCGGGAGCGGGAAGGGGAAACGGGGAGGCGGGAACGGGAATTGGGGAGGCAGGAAGGGGAAACGGGAAGGCGGGAAGGGGTAATGGGGAGCGGGAAGGGAAAACGGGGAAGCGGGAAGGGGTAATGGGGAGCGGAAAGGGGAAACGGGGAGGCGGGAAGGGGTAATGGGGGGCGGGAAGAGGAAACGGAGAGGCGGGAAGGGGAAACGGGGAGCGGGAAGGGGAATTGGGGAGGCGGGCAAGGGGAAACGGGGAGGCGGGAAGGGGTACTGGGGAGCAGAAAGGGGAAACGAGGAGGCTGGAACGCGAATTGGGGTGGCAAGAAGGGAAACGAGGAGGCGGGAAGGGGTTGGAAGCTCCCGTTTCTGCAGTCGTTCGCGCACTCAAGTGCGGCTGCCGGGGCTAGTGCGGAAACGTGGTAGCGAGGCTGTGCGATCGGGCCGCGACTGTGATAGTGCGTGTTCGGCAGTTTGAGACGAGTCGTACGCGTTCACGGTGGCGTGAGGAGGCAGCGTCGTGAGGCGACACGACGGACGACGAGGCGAGGCCGTGAGAGGAGGTCCCGCGGGATCGCTGCGTGAGAGGGCGGAACTGACGTTGGTTTATCCCTATAATTACACTAAACTGCCCCACGCGTCTAGGTTTGTGTCGGAAACGAGGGTAATTTGCGCTGGCTGTTGAGTCGCGATGTGCTTAGCTACGTATTATGCTGCCCGTAGAGCGTACTGGCGTAGATCTCACGTAGGCTGGATTTCGTATACTTTTGTCGACCCAAAAGTTTTGAATCACCAGCTAGTGCTGGGTGTCGGGGAGATCTCCCTCCCTTGTTCAGAGAGTGAACTAGCTGTAATTGGGTTACCAATATTTCAAATCTCAAAACTTTTGAACCTCCCTCTTTCAAATGTATACAAAAGCTTTAAAGCTGCAGTATACATTTGAAAGGTTGGGTTCAAAAACTTTTGAAATTTGAAAAGTTGCCCCAAAGCTGTGAGGCACACAATAAAAACCCTAAACCCGGCTGACAAATGTATACTGCAGCTAATGAGGCACTGCTAATGCGTCCGTAGATGGACATTATCAATTCGTCCGCAGACTGAGATCGTTATTTTACTAAAAATACGTCAGATCTGAACAACTACTGACCAGCAGTCA